AACTTTAAACTTTATCCATAATTAAATATTTTAATATATATTTAATTTTATTAAATTTAATATATTATAATAATTTTTAATATATATATATATAGTTTTTAAACTAGGATAGGTTAATTTAAAACAATTGAAATTCGGGTAAAAAAATTTAGCAACGGTTAAAACTGTCGCTAAATACATAATGTTAGCGACGGTTTTTCAAAATCGTCGCTAATTTTTGAAGTTCGACTATTGTGTTTCTTAAAAATTTGCGACGATTTTAATTAAATTAGTGATGGTTATTTAGCGACGAATCCAAAAATCGTCACTAAAAAATTAGCGACAAGCATTTTTTCGAGGGTTCTCAAACCATCGCTAATTTTATTTAGTGACTGTTTTTTAAGAATTAATGACGATCTAGACCATCGCTATTTTGCCGTTTTCTAGTAGTGAAGATATTACGAGTTCAAAGACTCATGTTAATTCATCAATGTTTTGTCGGATGCATAAGATGAAAACAACTATTCGGTGAGTTTTTTGCATATATAAATATTTGAACTTGAGATAACTTGTTTAAACGAGTAGAGTCTATTTTACTCGATTCAATCTTCTTGAATAATAACCATTATGTATAGAATAGTTTCACTTTAGCTCCCATGCATGTTCTAATTAAGAGCTTTGGGAAAATGTTTTAGAGGAAATTTTATAAAATATAATTTATGGTCATTTGCGGGGATTATAATGTCTCAACAATTGTTTAATAATTAATTCGATATGATGTAGCTAGATTTGTTAATCACAACAGGGAACTAACTCATAATTAATCATAAACTCTGGTTTTTATGCAAACAAATATATATTGTTATGGTCATAGACAAAGCAGTTTTCTTTGCCATAATTTAAGAAGGCAACGTGCTTCTTTTTTCTTTCTTTTAGTGCAAATTATGCCTTTTGCAACCAAAGGAATGAAGTTCTTTTGTGTGAGCTAATGCAATAGTGTGTGTGTAATGTTTCTTGTGGTGATGTTTTAAAAGGCATGAGAAATTCGAAAACCTTAAAAAAAAAACCTAGGCATAATATGACAGAATTTTGTAATTATTAAGAGTTAATATAAAATTATTTTCGGTAAATTCAACCATTTAAGTTTTTAAATCGATATTGTTTATTTACATGATATAGTTTTAATACTAAATGGTCATGCTTTTGAATATTTATACTATATATCCTCACTATTTTTTAAGGTGTCTTTGGATTCAAAAATTTAAAGAGTTTTCATTTAAAAGTACATTAGAGTTAATATAAAATTATTTTTAAAGCTTTAATTAATAATATTGTAGATAAATAAAATTCTGAATATACATGATCGAAAAAATCCGGTTGCTGAATATTGATTCAATTACTAATTCATAAATATTTCCGGAAATAATGTTTAATTGTTCTGGAAAAACAATTATAAATTGCAATGCCATGATTAATTATAAAAAACTCAGGAGATGTTTGGTGTGAACCATTCAAAAATTTTCATGAAAAAGTCATTTGAGATGCAAATGAATCCTAAACGTATGCTATGAAATCTTAAATGCCCGAATATATAACATTTTGTAGTACGTTACAGTCTCTTTAAAGTATGAAATGTAATTTCTTTTTGAAAATAATGTGAATCACAATCTAAGGCTAAAAATATGCATCACAAACTTAAATACCCTAGCCATTAATATTGATCGGACCGACATATTCTTAATTTTTACTAATAACAGCACAATTGTGTTTGGATATTATGTTTAGTGAATATTTATTTAGTTTATAATTACAATTTAATCAAATCCATTTTTTTTATCAAAAAGTTTTTTTCTATAAAAAATTTAAATGTTTAGTTGAATCTATTTTATTATATAAGTTTTTGACATTAGTAACATGTATTTTTATGTGTACAATGTTTAATAAAAAGGTAATATTAATATTTTAAATTCAGATATTATAAGTTGTAAGGTTAAAATGATAAATTTATTAAAAATTTCATAAATTCTTAAAGAGAAATCAAACACAAATATCACATTTGCTGCAATCATATTTTAAGAAGTCATCTTAAAAAAATTAAATTCAATTAAAAATATTTTATCAATTTTAGTAAGTTCGGATATATATATATATATATATATTTTGTCATTTCTTTCCTTAAAATGAATTTATTAAATAAAAACTATTAATTGCACAATTCATATTTTAAAAATTTTTCCTGTACACGGAAGGTATTTGACTTTTGGCTGGTGGGTCGTATAGGGTATGGGCGTCCGTAACAAGGAGGGTACTTGCCCAGTTCTTCTATTTTCATTTGTGGCAACTGGTCAAAGCCACTGTCTCGGGAAATGAACCATATTTTGCAATGACAAATCTACCCACCATCTAGAAGGCTTGATTACCTGAATCAAAATGCTAATCCTTTCTCTTTTTATTTCTTTCTAATAAAAAAAACCGTAAATGCTTTAAATATTAGGGAGAGATTAGTCATTTGAGAAAAAGGCAATATAAGCTTTGTATTTAAGGAAACATTTATTAAGTCACACATATGCTACTAAGTAATAAAGTAGTAAAAGATGCAGACAGCAATTGGAAAAAAAAAAAAAAAAGACTATAAAAAGTGAAATTCTTAAAATAATGGTGCATTGGGTTGTGCTAAAGATGTGTTGGGAGGGGAACTTGCACAGAATGTATAACTTTACCACTTTATTTCGAAGGGCACAAAAAATTAGGGTTTTTCTTTGCTATGCAGGAAGAAACAGGCCCACGCAGTGTAAAAGAAAATGGGTTTGGTAATGACAAAAAGAGTTTGACTTGATGAAGGTAGATTAATTGTTGTTAACTCAAAGAAAGCTAGATCGTACTAAGGACAGTTTATTTGATGACACTTGTAATCTTATATTACACGATATATATAATATCTATTACTATTTTAACTCCTTTGGACTATGTTAAGGACGACTGACATTGCATGTACATCTGATGTCGTGTCCTTAGCAAAATCCTTCCCTTTGTTTTCATTAACTCAGCTACGTATCGTCAAGATGATGATGATGATGTCAATTTATGAGAATTATGCACTTCAAACAAAAATGTCAAGATGAACATTTGACAATAAACTGAGTTTGTAGGTGAAGCAGTAAGAAACTCATTTTTGGTTTATTATATCAATTTCTTTGGAAAAGTTTTTCTTCCTCTCGTATTATATATAAAATGTCGGTAAATTTTAAATGAGAAAATGTAAAAAATGAGGGATTGAATTGATGTAGTTCAAGTAGATTAATACACATCTTGTGTAGGTGCAGATATTCCTTGATGAATTGAATTCAACGCCAAATTTGGTTATGATTCATTCATACTTGGTAAAAGAGAGAAAGAGACGTTATAACAAGGATAAATCGTTTTTTTTTTAAAAAAAAAAATCACATTAATGGCTTGCCAAATGTCTAGGGTGCCACATCATGAATTGAATTCTTCAACCAAATTATTCAAATAAAAATTACATAACAATTTTCTGAGTTTTTCAAGATGCTAATGTAAAATTGTAGAGTAGCACCTGATGAACAGGTTGCTCAGTCAAAATCATCAATTCTAGACAATCCAGCACGCCTAAATAAACCTCGTTATTATTATTATTATTTTCTTGCACGGTTAGGAATATTTTTGTAGTAGTTTATGTATGAATTAAGATTCTTTTTCTCGAAAGATCTTAAAAACGTAACCTATGTATCAATATGATATACTCAAATCAATTTAATAAGTTATTCTGAATGCTGATTTTAAAATTTAAATTCAAAAATTGAAGAAAAAAACTTTTTTTTTTTTTGACAAGCAGACCAACACATTGAGATTATAAATTGTAAACTGAACAGACACTTTACTATATATATCATTTTTGTAATTTTATAATTATTTTTATATTAAAAGAAGTTTTTTTTTTTTTTGTTGTTGAAATACTAGAAGGACTAAGTTATAACTAAATGGTCTAAATATGCAAAGAAAAAAGAAGAAGGTACCCAGAGGGGGGTATGGGGTGATGGGTGGGACTTTCAGGTGTGAAACATTGGACTTGGTTTACATTTTTTCAAGTTTGTCCATTAAAAAATGAAACAACGGTAAAAGTCTTGGAAACTTGAATTAAACTGTTTCTCGACAGTTGCAGACGGCAGGAAGAAAGACAGAAGAAGGGGTACGAAATACGCTCATGGTGATGGAGTTTGGAGCAGTTAGTTTACCGAACAGGAAACACGCATGAAAGTCCCATCTTTATCTATTAAAATCAAAATTTAAAATAACTTTTATAAGTGAAAAAAAGAAAAAAAATAACTTTTGTAAGTAAAAGAAATTATTAACATAGCTCTACACATCTATATAAAAATAAAAATAAAAATAAATCAAAGTTGCTGAAAAATAGCGATATTATCTTTTCAAGAATACACTAACAAAACTCAGAACTAAGATTTTGTACCGAATAAATATTGGTTTGACAATGTTTTTCAACAGTGCTTGAAAAAGACTTTTAAAATATGATTTAATCTGGTGAATTAAAATATGAATTTTGATGGTTTTTAAGTTAAACAAATTTCTGCTGAAAATCAAACAAAACATCTCGGCAATGGCAATGCACTACCTCATTATTTCCCCTATTTTTTAAGAGAAGAAATGACGGAGTCAACAAAACCAGGAGCAGTAGTAGTATAAATGAAGAATAACGTTACCTTCATTTATTATTTTTTGAAACTTCTGTTATCATCCTAAAGTCTGTTGTCTTGTCTCTCTCTCTCTCTCTCTCTTCTCTATCTATCTGTCTCTCAATCTGCATTTGCCTCGTTCCTGTATACTATGCTAACAAAACAAATACTAAACTATTTTTCTCTTCCGTATTTCTGAAAACCCAAATTATCTGAACGTTAACTACATTCCTTCTAATCCCTATTTTTTATTGTTCATTCTTTCAAGCTTTTCAAAAAGAACTAATCCAGGCAGACACAGAAAAGAAAGAAATGGAAGCGCTTTTTCCCGCGGGAATTCTAATCGCTGCTGTATTGTTTCATGCTACTGTGGTTCTGTCTTCTTTTCCGGCCACTTTGCATCTGGAGAGAGGGATTCCGGCCAACCATGAACTGAAACTGAGTCAACTGAAAGAGAGAGACAAAGTGAGGCATAGCAGAATGTTGCAGTCTTCAGCAGGTGGTGTTGTTGATTTCCCAGTTCAAGGCACCTTTGATCCTTTCCTCGTTGGGTAATTCTATCTTTTAAACCATGTCTGAATTATGGGTTTTTCTTAGCTTTTGGATTTTGTTATTGTTTTTCAAGTTGTATTGTTAAAGATGCGAATTTGTGGATTATGGGGTTTTAAATTTTGGATTTTTAGACTCTGAATGACATATGAAATATGGTGTGAGTCTCAGGTTTGTTTAATTTTTTTGGTTCCTTTTGTAGGCTTTATTATACAAGATTACAATTGGGTTCTCCTCCGAGAGATTTCTATGTACAAATAGATACTGGAAGTGATGTTTTGTGGGTTAGTTGTGGCTCCTGCAATGGCTGTCCTGTTAACAGTGGACTTCATGTAAAGCTCACTTTTTTCGCTTTTATATTCATATAGCTTCATATTTTGATTCTTATTCTCATGAATTTTGTTAAAAGAAAAGGAGAGTAATTTGTTGCTGCAATGTTTTCAATATTGTTTCTCTGGTTCACTTATTACAGATTCCACTCAATTTCTTTGATCCTGGAAGCTCACCAACAGCTTCATTGATATCTTGTTCAGACCAAAGATGTAGTCTTGGACTTCAATCCTCAGATTCTGTCTGTTCTCAACAAAACAATCAGTGTGGTTACTCCTTCCAGTATGGCGATGGCAGTGGCACATCAGGGTATTATGTATCGGATTTGTTGCATTTCGATACCATTCTTGGTGGGTCCGTGATGAATAATTCTTCAGCTCCTATCGTATTCGGGTGAGCTATTATGGATATGTCAAATTTAAGGTGATAGTTGTGTGATGTTCATTTTTTATAACTCTGGAATTCATGGATTTGGATGGTGTGTTATGAAACAGGTGTAGCACATTACAGACTGGGGACTTGACAAAGTCAGATAGAGCAGTGGATGGGATATTTGGGTTCGGACAACAGGGCATGTCTGTAATCTCCCAACTAGCTTCACAAGGGATAACACCAAGAGCATTCTCTCACTGTTTGAAAGGAGATGATTCTGGTGGTGGTATATTGGTTCTTGGAGAAATTATGGAGCCAAACATCGTTTATACCCCACTTGTCCCATCACAGTATGTTTTTCTCCCTGTTTATATTTCAAAGTTCAGATTTTCTCACAGTGGCGGTCATTCTTCTCCTTTTCCACTACTCATTTTACCACTGTGTCTATGTGCCTTTTTTCATACTTGCTATTATATAGCTATCAGATCTGGTTTGACCTTTCACTACTTATTTAAATAAAAGAGAGTGAAATAGATGGATATTATGTAGCTCAGGATTTTTAGTGCCTGTCTGACATTAGTTTGACCTGGAGCTTCTTTATAAAATCATTTCAGTTGTGTCGTTGGTTGTGATTCTGTCGCACTTCATATTTAACTCTCTGTTTCTAATGGTGCAATCTTATAAAATGTTTATGTTTGCTCATTTCTTTTATGTCAATCAATAAAAGAGTTGGAAGTCGGGGCCTGTTTCTGGCGTCAAGTGGCTTTTCTTAACAAAACACTATGCACTTGGTAACATCTCAAAGGTTAGGAGCAGAAAAGGCCATACTTCACATGTATCTAACAATCTGTTACAGAATTATTTTTAAGCTTTACCCTTCCCTTTTAGTTTGTTAATCTAGGCAATCTTTTTATATGCGTTGATGCTTTTAGCTTACTCCGCTAGTGCAGAACTAAAAGCGGTAAATTCCTCAGTTTAGCTCATTGTTGTGAGAACATATATCTTTGGATCTCATATTTAGGTTTCAAGGATAATGATTCTGGCTTTAACCAATATATGGTAAATCTGCAATGAGCAAAGAATGTCAATGTTTAAACAATAAGATGCAGTGAGAGGGGTTGGCATTTTAAAATATGACTGGGGGTGAAGGCATATTGTTTTCATGAAATTATTTAGATCAGCTTGTTAGTTGGCATGCCTTTTACTCACCATCCTAGACAAGCAAAAACCAATTCAGCTCAACACTTTAATAATTAACTTTAAGTGCTTGTGAATCTTAAATCAGTAGTGTTGCTGCTACGAGAGCATTCTTAATTGTCAAAAATCATTTGAGCATGGTGCCCATTATTACTTATTAACATTTGATGGCTCAATTTGATTGATCGGTATGATACCTTGCCCCACCGTGTTTTCTAATAAATAGTCAAAGTTGAAGCATATAATCTGTACTGAATTATAAGTTTCACTGACCACCTTTATATCTGAAATTTCAGGCCTCATTATAATTTGAACCTGCAGAGCATTTCTGTCAATGGCCAAACTTTAGCAATTGATCCATCAGTTTTTGGAACATCAAGCAACCAGGGAACCATCATTGATTCTGGAACAACCTTGGCTTATCTAGCAGAAGCAGCTTATGATCCTTTTATTAATGCTGTAAGTGTCAAAGGAATATTTTATCCACTAATAGATTGAACATTGTTAAGGATCTCCATTAGCCACTTCTTTAGAATGATGTCCTTATCATGTTTTGCTGGCTACTATCTCAGGAATTTTGTATAACTTTAGCAATGTTTGAAGTGTTTAGTTGCCCTCTTGTGCAGATAACATCTATCGTTTCACCATCTGTGCGCCCCTATCTTTCCAAGGGAAATCACTGTTATTTAGTCTCCTCCAGGTTCACTTTCTACCTCTATTATCTTTGTTCAATTTCCATTGTGTACGCTGTTTTCGATAAATTGTCTTAACCCAGAACTTATGTTTGCTTTGTGCTCAGTATCAATGATGTATTTCCTCAAGTTAGTTTGAACTTTGCTGGTGGTGCATCCATGATTTTAATTCCCCAGGACTACCTTATTCAGCAAAGTTCTATTGTGAGTTCCTTGTGCTTCATATTGATGACTTTTCATTTTCTCTTATAAAGAATGTGTTTAGACACTCAAATTTTGCATTGAATTTGCTGCTCGGTTGATTGAGATTTGTTTTCCTTCAATTGAACATTCCCCTTTATTGATTCCAGAGATATGATTACCTGGTCTTGATTTCATTTTTTGTTCCTGAGCTCTTTGTTTTCTTTCCATTTTCTGATTTTGGTGCACAATAATGGACAACTGTGCTCATATTTTCTTTTATACATTTTTCTGTTGTCTGAATATAACTGGAATGCCAACTGATTTGTTCTGCCATGGCTATGCTGCACTATTTGCAGTCCCAACTGTTAGCCTTGTTTTCTGTTGAAAACTGGAAACACATCCAGAGAATTGATAAGGTTTTTCGTGATTGAACATGGTCCCTTTGCATATTGGTCCAGTGATTTGGTATTTTTGTCTGGCATCCTGAATCTCTAACTGGTAGGATTGAATTGATGTTGCAGGGTGGCGCTGCATTGTGGTGTATTGGCTTTCAGAAAATTCAGGGTCAAGGAATAACAATCTTAGGAGGTATTGACACCACACTTTCTTCTTTTTTTCTTTTAATTCCTGGAATTATTTGCTTGTAAAGATCATTGGAGGTTGTATAATCTATTTACCAAAGATATAGGAATCTGAAAGAATTCGAAATTTCATCTATGAGGGAAAGAAAGCCTAATTTTCATTATACTTTGTGATTCATCTTTAGAGCAACTATACTTCAGCTTGGTCCAATCACACAGCCTCGTGCATGTCCGCATGAGGTCTTAGTTTCTATTAGCTGCTGATGCTAGTCATAATTGTTATATGATACTATATCTAAAACATTTAGTATTCCTCTTGCTTTAGCAGAACTGAAAACCAGGGAGATTGCTCCATGTGTTTTTTCTTGTATTTGAGCCTAAAAATGTTGCTATAATAGTACAACATCATTTCGACATTTTTCTATAATAGGTTGTTTTGGGTTCATCCAGAGGTGCTAACTTTACCAAGTTCATATCTGCTCATTCCTATTTGTTGCCTTTTTTGTTCAATTGTCTTGCAAATTAAAAATACGAGGAAGTTGATTAAAAGTTCACCTCAAAAGGAGAACATTTGTTATGATTATCCTGTACTTGTTTGTGACAGGATTTATAATCATGGCATTTATCATTAAGTTTTAGCTTTTCGTTGTTCAGTTTTATTTTTATTTTTGCTAAAGCAGGAGGCCTTTCTCATTCGATATATCGTACCAAAAATTTGTGTTATTGCTGATGTTTTCCCAAGCATAATTGCTTTTAATAATTATTTCAAAACTCCAAGCATGGTTCTCAACACACTTAATATTCTGCACTGATTTGCTCTTTCAGCCTACGTTTATCTTCATGACCAAGATAATTTGCACTGCCAAGTCCATGTCCAAGTTGCAATAGTCTTGCTAACCCATTACCCTATTTCTTCTTTGATGCTACCTTGTCTAACCCTTTATATCTTTTCTATTTGTCTTTTATTTTTTCTCCTTTATTTTAAATAAGTAGAAATCTTTTGCTTACAAAACAACATTTTGCTTTCTCGTTTTGCAGATCTTATTCTAAAAGACAAAATCTTTGTTTATGATATTGGTAATCAACGGATTGGATGGGCTAATTACGACTGTAAGTTGCAATTTTGTGTCATTGTCATTTAGCATTATGTGTTATTAAAATCTTGAATATCAACCCAGAAGAGATTCTCGTAATGGGTAATTTCTGAAGCAAGTGTCGAAAAAATAAATAGAAATTGTCCTTAAAAAAAATTGTTTTCCTTATTGCTTTGTATCAATATGCTACAATAACAAAATGGATATCATTCTCTTTAGTTTCCAAATTTATTTGAGTTTGGACCTGCTCCTAATTTCCATTCTTTGTCTGTGAATTATCCTGTTAGGCTCAACATCAGTAAATGTGTCTACTGCCATAGATACTGGCAGAAGTGAATTCGTCAATCCGGGGACACTGAGCAATAACGGTTCACCAAAGAACATGCCTCACAAACTGATACCAGGGACTATGATATCATTCCTTCTGCATATACTATTGCTCAGCTGTTACTTGTTTTCGTAGCAGGCCATGCAACCCATCTGGGACTACTATTCTTTCCTTCACTGTACTGCCCTCTTTCCGGTTTATATTTACAGCAACCGGCAGGGCCATGTAGTATTACTATTTTGGTAATAGTCAGTCGCCGCCTGATTTGCAATTGGTTTCTGGGTGCTTTTTCTTCTGAACTTACTTCGTCAGCCATTTACACTGATGCTGTCATGATTCATCCATTAGCAGCCTCGCTCTATTAGAAGCGCTGTAAATTTACCTTCATATAGGATTGTTGATCTAACAGCAGAATTAATTTAATACAAAATGTCATGATTCATCCATGTACACTGGTGCTTTTTCAATGTTTTCTGTAGTTTGTATACATGAAAGTTGTATGAGCTAAAAGCAGCACCTTAATAGTTTCTGTGTCATAATTTATTTGGATTCTTTTGATCCATGCTTTTTGATAGAGCAACGTGTGTCCTTCGGTTCTGTTAGGCACAGATGATTGGTTATTCATGGCATTTAGATGTGCATTAGATTTTTATTCATGTTACGCTATGGATCAAACATGACATGTAAAATTATTTTAAAAAACAATTATAATTTAATGGTATGTATTATATTATAGGATCAACTAAAATATATCAAATCAAAAGTAAAATCAAAACTTTCTTTTTTTAATAATAATTGTGTTTAACCAACTATTCATTATGTGTTTCATAATATTTTTTTGTTAAAAAAACACGATTTATTCTTTTATATCTGTATTTTTAAATTAAAACTTTTTTATATTTATTTTCAAAAAAATCGAAGGCAAATTATCTAAAAAATACTTTTAATATATATTAATAATTCATTATATAAATTATATCAAAAAAATTTAAGAGCAAATAATTATATTCGAAAAATTCATTATATATATTTAACCATGATTTATCATTTAAAAATTAAAAGAAGTTGTCATATAAATTATATCCATTTTTTTAATAGCAAATAATAATATTCTAAAAATTCATTAAAAAATCAATACATTGATCTCTCTCCTTCCTCTTTTGTCTTTATTTCTCTTAATTGGTGTTATTCTTTTATATTGTAATCCTTCAGAAGGAATGTTGCTTCAGCATTGTAAGCTAGGGTTTTAAAAACCTATTACAATCCATTCCTATGAACCAAAACTACTCCATTTGATTCGTTGCTAGTTGATGCAATGGAATCCAGCTTTTACTAGTTATTCAGCATTTGCTTTGAATGTGTTGTTTGTATTTTTTTTTTTTCATGTCTAAGCTCATTTATTTTACCAGCAATAAAAAATCACACCTAGACAAAAGAACATACATTTTTTTTTTTTTTACCATGAAGTATCTGAAAAATTCTAACTGGAAAAAAATATATATATATATATAAACAGGCCCTAAAAATTAATAAAAACACCAAATAAATCCAAAATATCTAATTATTACAAATAAAGTCAAATTAAACCAAAAATAAAAACAAACACACTCGCAAGCAATCCTTCAACTCCAAATGCCATGTGAAAACACTCTCCACACATGCAAACTCGCACCAAATCAAAATAAAGTAAGAACATGTAAAAAAAGAATAAAAACGTGTTAATAAATGAAATTAAAAAAAGAAGAAGCTAAAATACAAACAAGCAAGGAAATGTGATAACTTTTATACAAGGCATGGATAATATGAGGAAATAAATAAACTTTATGATTGTTTACTATTTTTTATGAAAAATTATTATTATTATTTTTGTGAAATGTCATTTTGTTATTATCTATTTGATATGGATCAAAGACTTGATGCAAAGGGTTTTTGGAGCATGTAATGGAATTTTACTATTAGAATTCAACCTGATTGAAAAATTTGTATAAGACTTAGAATTATTGGACTTTAATATAAAAAAATTATTTAACAAGTAAAAATATTTTCGAATCAGTTTATAGGTTAATTGAAATTAAATTATTTTTTAAATGATTTTACAGACATATTTTCTACATCCATGTAACGCATTTACAGAAATTCTAGATACTCGCATCGGTGTTTACATTTAAAATAAAATAAAATAAAATAAGAAATTTAAAAAACCTTTTTAACCAACTGCCTCCTCCACCACCCCAACTCATAGTCCAAGCCCACCCCAAATGGGCTAATATTTTTTAATTTTTACATAATTAACTACATGGGTCCAGTCCATGACTATTTAAAACAACATCCATCGAAACTACTCATCGAGTTTTTATTTTTTTATTTTTTTAAGCATCCCCTCCTCCCACATCGACGACAAGTAGCCGTTTCCTCTGGTGTCCGCCGTTCATCTCTTTTCCAAGGGGTGGCTACTGCCGGTCATCTCTTTTCCGAGGTAACTTAGGAAATAATTTTTCGTTTATTTAATTTCGTTTTTTTTTTTTTTGTTATCTTGGAGATTTTATGCTCATTTACTTGTTCATTGATGTACCTAGACTGAATTTTTGTTGAATTCGAATTTCTTTCTAGTTTTAGGGTTCTATTTGTGATTGAGTAAGGAGAACGCAAAATCAAGTAATTTTGAGGTTTTTGCACGATTGTTTTCGATTGTATTTGTAGGTAAACCCAAACTCTGCTAGCTTTTATTTACGCTTTTGTTATCTCCTTTTTCTGTTTGGCTGCTGAGAAAATTTGAGAAAGGAAAAGAGCGTGGAAATTTGAAGAGTAAAATTTCGCTGTTTGGCATTTTGGATAAGTACAAGTTTTGAAATTGCTAGCTAATAAGCTCTTTGCAACTTTGTCTTGATTTTTAAGTTTTCAAAGACGTGGATTAGATATTATTTAATTTAATATGAAGCGGAAAGGCTACCCTGTTTTTTGTCTTGTTTGAAATAGCTCCTCCTCAAGAAGGAAGGAATGCAGTTATTTTGTTCAATTTTTGGATTTTATTAGTCCAAATATCCAATTCATATTTTTACTGCAACTGATTGGGTTTCTAGTTTTTATTTTTATTTTTTTTCTGATTTTTCTACTCTCTCTCTCTCTCCCTCTGTATGGTGCATGGTTGGTTTATTAGTTGATCAAGTATCGTGGAGTAATTTATTTTGGAGTGATAATAAAATCCTAAATGCCAGTCAGTCTCTATAGCATATGCACACTGCAACAATTGTTTCTCTACCATGTCAAATCGTCCTGTCTGTTTTTAGGAGCATATGTCAATTTCCTATAGGATTTGAGAGCTTCTGTTGTATTCCTATGTATAAATTTGCTGCTGTGATTATACATAATGTAGCCTGATATATCAATGACTTTGATGTTTGAGACAGGTTTATATGAGATTTGAGCTTTTCATATGATTTATTTGTAGTATGCGATTTTAGGATGTTGTGCAATTTGGTTGTTGGTTCAAGTAGTAAATTGCTCGGGAGATTGCTTATAATTTGTCTACAAGTGATTGGTTGTGTCGTTTTTTGCAGTCCTTCATTTTCTTAGTTAAATCCATAACTGTTCATGGTAAATCTCTTTGAACAAATTGCTGTTAAGCTTCAATTTCATTTGGTTTATGGAAAAAAACTGGGCCTCGGTCATAAGATTATCTATCTTGCATTTGGCTAGTTATTTCCTCTGTAAAATTTGTTTTTGCTATGAATAGTTTATATGCTGTCTTAATTTTCAATTTGTGAAGGCTATTTCTTTGCCTCTACTGAATGGATGGTAACTGGAAGTCTGGATGTGTTTTGGAAATTTCTTGGCCGTGCTTTTTCTGTGACATCAGCTCTGTAGCAGGAATTGGCTCTTGATTGGTGTCTTTGCGATCAATGGTCTATTTATTTATTCATAAAAAGATTAATAGAAATAAATGCATGAATGTATATTTCTTTTCATTTGTTTTTGTCCTGTCTCTTTTATTGTTTGATTCGATCTGTTTTGTTCAATCTCTTGCAACATTTGGGCAATGGATTTCTTTTTCTCTTCGAGAGTAAATCTTCTGTTAGAATTGATCTTCCCTTTGTTAAACCCTATAAATTTATGGTTTATATGAGTTTGGGTTTTGATTTCCGTATGTGGGTCTCTGCAGTATCTGCAATGGAAGGAATGGAGCATTGGAAAAGAGAAATTCAAGATAGGTTGCAACAAGGGATTGAATATGCACATCAGATACCCCCCACTCAAATGTATGCAGCTGCCACTGTGTTGCTTTTCACCACCATTTTGCTCTTAGCAAGTAATTCTCTATTATTCTCTTATGTATAATTTATCACCATAACTGTCTAGTTTGTTACAAAAAACACCTGATTGAATCTATTCGTATTCAGCCAGCCATGTTCATTTAGGCATCATTAGATGTTGTTCTTCTTGCATGAAAAATGGGATTTGACATGCACTTGGAATAATAGACATACAAGTTAATTGTGAGTATGGATATATAGAAGTTTGAAACCCAAACCCCCCACTATCCGTGCCCCCGCCCACACACACACACACAACACCCCACCCACACACACACACACACACACACACAAACACGATTACAATGCACCAGTGAAACAAGAAATTATAGTTGGGTATTGGAATTGAGGCAGAACCAAACAAGATTAAAGCACTTGATGTTGCTCGGTGGCCATATAATTCGTGATCTGCACTGGCCAGTTGGATGATATGGACATCATTAGCTGTATTCTTATCTCCTGTAGGCTTTACAATGGATTTTACATCTTTTAAAACTTAATTTCATGACAATGGTGATTGGACGATTGGCAGCTTTTTCAAGTTTTTAGCATGCCATTCATGCAAATTAGCCTTTTGCCCAGGATTGTAGTTTAGAATTGTAGAGGCAGAAGAATGAGTTTGATGTATGACCTAGGAAGAATCGTTTTCAAGTCCAGCTGATACTTTCTTGAAGAAATTGCATGAACAGCATAGATATTTAGTTCTCCACTTGCTATGAATTGAAAATTTTTAGAAAGGAACATATCTTAATTCTCTCGGATTGACCTTATGAATAAACAATCTCTCTGTTTTGAATGGCCCATTTTTTAATTGCACTGCTGTTTTGCAGATATTGTTAAAAAATTGCAAAATATATACTCATTTAAAGATTTGAATTTGGAATGATATTTACATTTTTTTTTTTTTTTGTCTACTTTTCCTTTTCAGTTCGCTTGTTCAAACGTACCAAGTCTAATACCATTGTGCTCGCGGGGCTTAGTGGGAGTGGAAAAACTGTTCTTTTTTATCAAGTAATCCCCTGCATTGTTGGTTTTGTTCCTTGAAAATCTCTGAGTTTGATTTTTAGCTTTGAAGATTTTGAATTTTGAAGTACATACCCCCCTCACCCTTTGAGTAGGTGGTGTTCATGGTCTATTGTGGTGCAGTATTGATGAGCAAACTATATGATTATGCTTTGATTTGGTGCTGTTTCTAATAAGGGTAGCCTACAAAAAAAAAAAAATTATATATAATTTTAAAGAATATTTCACCATATACAAGTTTCAACCATATATTAACCATTATGTATATGTATAGTAGACACAAAATAGTTTACCATGTTTATGAAAAATAGAAATACAATCACGTGTTTCGAATGTTAAGATTACAACCTAAATATCTAGAAAGCAGTATTCAAACCACAAAGTCCTAAATGTAAGATAACTACATAAATATCTAAAGAGGAATATGCAAACTTTCTCCTTAAAATATCAAGATCTATACATTAGGGAACATCAACAACTAGAAGTATCAATGCTGTGCAGTTAGGAGTTATAAAAAAAGGTTAAGCATGTATGCAAACTAGATGATGCCATTCAGTTTGATGATTTGACTTCAACCATGAACACCCCTACCTTTGAGTAGATATGCCCTTAATGACTGGGAATATGTTGCAACTTCCAGGAGATATATAATGAAGTGATTTAAATTAGGCAGCATGGTTTTCAAAGTGAATTTATTATCCTGTTGCTTTGCTAATGGAAATGAATTACCATTAAGTTTATGAGAATTATCTTGTTTGTCACAGATTTTATTCTAATTTTGTTGTATCTGTTACAATTGCCAGCTTCGAGATGGCTCTGTACATCAGGGCACTGTTACCTCAATGGAACCAAATGAGGACACTTTCCTGCTACATTCTGAAACTACTAAGGTGATACATTTTTAACCTTGCATGCTCAAATTCAATTCTTGATGTGTTGATTGATCCTTGCATGAAATAAAAACCTGTCCCAAAATTTACCTGGCATTCGCAGCTGTGCTAATTGCTGAGTTTCTCCAATTTGAGCTTTTGTTAATTTTCTGTATTCGAATCTGCAATTCAGTGAACCTCCTAACCCCTCCTTTTGTTATTTTTTCACTTCTTTGTGTCCATGACAGAAAGGAAAAATGAAGCCTGTACATGTTGTTGATGTTCCTGGCCATTCTCGTCTTCGACCCAAACTAGATGAGTTCTTGCCTCAAGCAGCTGGCATAGTGTTTGTTGTTGATGCTTTGGAATTCTTACCGAGCTTGAGTGCAGTTTCAGAGTAATTATAAGCTTTTAAATTTAATTTTAGATGAAGCAACCGTGTATTGTTGCTCACATATAGACTATCACATTCTCAAATGCAGATATATTATTATTCTGATATTTGATGGCTTGCATGTGACAGATATCTCTATGATATTTTGACCAATGCAAGTGTTGTCAAAAAGAAAGTTCCAATTCTCATCTGTTGTAACAAGACAGACAAAGTGACAGCACATACGAAGGAATTCATCCGAAAGCAGATAGAGAAAGAAATGTGCGTCTTCAATTTTCATTGTTCTTCATTTTCTTGTTGAATTTTTATTGGCAACTTTTTCATTGCATGCCTCTGGGAAGTTGGTGGCAGCATGAGCTCAGCTAGGCTTTTGTGCTCTCTTCCACAACTCAGTGTAGTCATAACTCATAAGGCTCTTTTACCAAGGCACTAAGGCTAGATGAGGTGCCTTCTTTAGTGCCTTAAATGCATCTAGGCAAGGCTATTTACTCTTAACTGTTGGGTACACAAGTGCCCTTACAAGGTGTCGACACTTGAAGTGCTCACTTAGGCCTCTCTTTTTTTTCACTTTTGTTTTTTTACAGTATTAGCATACCATATCAAAGCAAAGTGGTTTTTTTAAAAAGAGAGGAGGATATTTTATAAAGACTATACACCTTAGGTTTTGCTTGCTACTAGCTCGAGTACTTTAATCATATAAATTTGTATTTTGGTTGCTTAATATGAGGTCAGTGATAAAACCCTATTATGATTTTGTAATTGATGGTAATACATAAATGATTTTAGGTTTATTTCATTTTGTTTATGTTAAATAGATAATGCATAGTGCTGGCTTCAGTCCCTAATCTGTTATCCCCCTCCCCACTAACTACTAACAACTAGCCACTGGTGTATCGCAGGAATCAAAACCAAAACAAATAGATAGATAGATTGATAGATATCACACACACACACACACACTATTATTTTGAAATTGTCCCTCGTTTTACTTGGATGAGTGCCTGTGTGGAACCTAGCACCGTGGTTGACAGCAACCCTTATGCCTTAAGATGCCTTGTTCTTTAAATTACTCATAATCTATATGTTAGTTACCACTCATGGACTGGAAAAGAGACCAATCTATCTATTCTTGAAAATTGTTACAGTGAAGAAGCATTGTGCTTTGTCATATATGTATATGTATATGTGTGTATATATATATATACATGCATTGTGCTTTGTCATATATATACATATATATGTATATGTATATGTATCTATATATGTATATGTATACACGCATTTTGAATCGTTGATGCACTTTTATTGTAATCAATTCTCTCTTATCACATGGCAGTGAAAAATTACGGGCATCAAGAAGTGGAATATCAGAAGCTGATATTGCAAATGACACTACTCTTGGAATACCTGGGGAAGTGTTTTCATTTTCGCATTGCGTGAACAAAGTTAGCATCGCAGAAGCTTCTGGTTGGACTGGTGAAATTTCTCAGGTGGAGCAGTTCATTAGAGCACATGTAAAGCCTTAGGTAGATGTGCTGTATAATTTTTGTGTGCATGCTTTGGAAGCTGGCTTATATTTCCTCCTGATTGCTGGAAAGCTCAAAGCAGCAGCCTGAACTTCCCAGAAGAAAAATTGTACTGGAGATGTACATTCAGATTTATGCAAGTAGTGTGGTCTCTGTTACTTGAGAAACAAAAACAAAAGGTGGTTTGATTGGATTTGATTAACATTTAATTTTTCGAGAGCTGTGATTAAGAGCTATTTAATGACCAATTATTGCATTTGCTGCTTGGATAAGAGTGGAAGATCAATCTTGCCAATCGATTACAATGATTTTAAGATTTTGATATTTATACCCTGAGTGTGAGTGTGCATCTGTATTTCTAGAGTGTGTTTTGTAACGCAGTGCAGGTGTTTTTGCAAAACTGAGTTTGGATTGAAGATGCGTCAATTTTTCAGGTGTTTTTTTTTTTTTTTTAATGTTATCAACATATCAAAACCATGCAAATACACCCTAAACAACATTTTAAATGCAGCCTTAAGGCTGCATGTATTGGGAAGTAATTACAAGTTTACAACATCCAGAATTTGTGATGCTATAAAGGTTTGGAGAAAATTCAGCTCCTTGATTCGTTTAGAGGTACATTATTGTTTTTATAAAAATGTTTCACTTGATTAGGTTGGCTTGGTGATTTTTAAATTTTAGAACCCTTCGATCGATCTTGAAAATCTGCATGATATTCAGTTCTTCAAAATTCAAATATTGACAGTTTCTGTTAGTAAAAAATTAATCATTCCATGACAAAAATACATTGCTTCCAACAAAGACAGACACAGAGCATAGCACTGCAGTCATGGCTTACAATATAGGCAATGTGATTGGTATTTGCCCACAAACCAGCAAAATCTGTGTATCAGATGCAGCTATATAACATCATCTCAGGCAGGCCACGAAGGGTTTTTTTTTTTTTTTTTTTTTTTTGTATAATTACGTTTACTCTGAATCTGAATGTGCTGATCGTGTGTTGCAGCAGTTCTTTTTCAAGTCTAAGCTACTTTGTTTTACGACAAATCAATTTGAAAAAAATAAATAAATAAAAAGTCTCACCTGGACATGCAGGTGTAGAATATGCAAGCCAGTGCATAATAGGAATGGCATACCAGTTGTGCTTCGCAGATGCCATGACACGGAATAAATTACTAATAAGTCTCTCTAGTTTTGAGAAATAAATTAATTAGTTCATATTCCAAAAACTAATGATTTAGTGCTTTTGTCTATTTTATGTTCTTTTCTAATTTTTTTAAGAAAAAAATAAATGGATATTATGGAAAAATTAGTGAGGAAACAATATTTTTTAAAAAATAAAATATTATTAAATTAAGCATGATCAATACTGATTCAGTGGCTAAATAATTAGTTTGTTAAAAAAAAGACTAATTTATTTATTTTTTAAGACTATAGGGACTAATTTATTATTTACTCCCATGGCGCTGCTTGTAGAAAAATTAACTGAGATGGGCTAAGGCTTGAAGCCCATGAGCTGACATGACGTGACCCATAATGGGCTTGTACCAACAAAAGGATAGGCGTAGTAGCATGATCCATATACGTTATAATTTTCTCGTCAAAAACTTACAGTAAACCAACTCTTACGAGTTTTTTTCCATAATAATTAACTTTTAAATCTTATTTAGTTTTAAACTTATTTTCTATAATAGGCACTATATATTAAGTATGAGTCATTTCAATTAAATATATTGATATATCCGTTTTATTTTTTTCACAGATAAATATATTCAAAAACCGTTTCTTTTTGTTGTATTTAAATTACAGCATGTCATTTTTAATTAATCAAACGATGTGTTTTACTTCGGTTTTTATGAGTGACTTTGCTGAAGCTCCTTTTATTCCGTCATTGGACTTTTCTTTTCCTTTTATTCTAGCTAGCCAATCTCTCAAAGGTGATTTTAGAGGTAACTAACATCTACTGTATAGTGTCTTGTTAATCTGATGGCTAGTTTCTTGTGTTGGATTTTTTTTTTTTTTTTGGAGGGGGTGGGGGGGGGGGGGGGGTGTGTGCAATGAGGGCTGAAGATTAACGATTTAAGGTTTGGAATTTAAGCAGGAAGGAACTAAGGTTAATGGTTTAAATGCTTCCACCTACCATTACTGTGAGTATGTGAAAGCATCGATGCCCCTGGAGATTTCTATTGACAGGACCAGATTAAAAATCCTAACCATTCAGTTCATAAAACCTCTTCTTACTTGTCTCACAATTGCTTTTGCAGTTGGACGGACCTCAACTGATTAAGCATGGCTTTAATGATGCAATTGCTACAGTGGGTCTAACCAAGTTCATCTCTGCCCTCTTTTGGGTTGGAATGCTTTATCACCTCTGCAATCAGGCAAGGATTTTCTACTGATCTTTTTCTCTCTATACAATTTAGGCACCTTAAACAATACCTTTGGAGTAATTGATGTTTACATGTCCTTTGCATAAGTTAGGCAGTTCTCCAGGACAGCTTTTTTTTAACAATTTGAATGCTTACATAGGTTTCCATAATGAGTATTGTGAGACAGTGTACTAATGACTGGGATACGTAAACAACTTTCCAGAGACCTATGCATTCAAATCATTACGGAAACTGATTCAGACATCTGTATAACCATTAAGGAAAAAGCATTTACACACAAATGCCTTGGTTTACATCAAAAACATGGTAGAAGAACCCTGAAATTAAGTAAATGTTGTGGTCTCCGTTTGCTTTTACTCAGAGATTTCAATTCAACTATTTTCCATTTCTATTCCAGCTCTTATCAGGAATGATAACGTTTCTCTGGAAACGTTATCACAGTACTGTTTTTCAGTGTTACGAAACGACTTTGTCCTCTTGAATTTTCAGCTGGCTACCAACACTTGGAGAGGGTTGCACCTCTTACACATGGCAGTGGGCGATGTGCTGCAACTTGTGTTTGTGATTGGCTTTTCCATCGTGATCTTTGGTAATGACATGTCTCGCCACCATTTGATATACTCATTTTTTTCTTAACAATCACTATTATTTTTTGTGGATAGTAAAATCACAATAATACCTAACAATTCCCTCCTTGCAGGCAACAAAATTTCAACACAAACTGGTATTGGAACAGGCATTGCAATCGCCGGAGTGGCAGCCTATTCTTACATCAAGGCCAAGATGGAAGAATAGAAACAAATGAGTTCCGTTCTATGATACTCCAACAAACATAAGTATTCTAGGTTTATTTTTGTATTTGGGTTACAAGCTGCATTATGCTGAGCAGTCTGTTACTTGTTGGGTTAAAATCTAAGTTAAAAAGTGATCTTAGCTTAAAAAATCGATTGCTGAAATCCTTAGAACATGAGCACCTGTGGAAACTAATCTGTTAGTCTGTTACTTGTAGCTTAAAATCTACTTTTTGGAGAATTAATCTGTTTGTTTAATAAGGATTCTTTTGTGATGGTGGAAATGGGTTTCATTTTCTTCTTAGTAAAGTCTCTAAAATGAATTGCTCTAACTTTCACTGCAAATTTGGTTAATTAATCGCTTGCAGCAAGGGAAAGCAGCATGAGAAGGAAAGAGGCATCAGCTGTGGGGAAGGAAACCTTGTTTGTAAAGTCAAATTCTGCTGTTCCAAAGATAAAAACGACAAATTGAGTATCTTTTTGTCATTCTGAAGTTATTTTTTTCATCAATTTTCTTTGATTCAGAGTACAGACCAAAGCTAATTTAAGAATCATAACTACATAAAAAAATCATATCTAGCTTATAAACCCAATTTAAAAATCATATAAACCATAAACCTTAATTAGTCGCTTCCAGACCTTAAATTGTTAATCTCCAGCCCTCATTGCACACCCAAAAAAAAAAAATCCAACATAAGAAACTAGCCACCAGATTAACAAGGTATTATACAGTAGATGTTAGTTAATTACCTCTAAAATCATCTTTGACAAATTCGCTAGCTAGAATCAAAGGTAGAGAAAAGTCCAGTGACGGGAAAAAAAGGTTTCTCCATTTAAGAAAACAAAGGAATTTATAAAAACATGAGTAAAACACACCATTTGATTAATTAAAAATAGCATGTTCGTAATTTAAATACAATAGAAACTGTTTTTGAGAATATTTACCAATAAAAAAATAAATAAAACCAATATGTTAATATATTTAATTAAAATACAGTGTCTTATTATGAAAAATAAGTTTAAAATTATCCTATTATAAGAAATAAGATTTAAAAATATCTTATTATGAAAAAAAAAAAAAAAAACTCCAACTCTTACGGTAGCAGTATTAATTAAGGAAAAGAATCCGAATTCTATCATGATTTGGTTTTTCTACTTATTGATTGTTCTCCAAAAAATATAGAAAACCAAAAGATCACCCTTTTAACCGCCAAAAAGAAAAAGATCAGCTTCTCTCTCCCTGCATCCTCCGTATATGTATATATATTCTTGGCTTTCAGATAAAGAGCAGACACACAGAAAATATTATCGTCAATGGAAGCATTCTGCTCTTTGTACGTTGGGGACCTTGACCCATCTGTGACTGAAGGCCAACTCATTGAAACTTTCTCCAAAATTGAAGGCTATATATATCTCTGCCGTGCTTTGTAGTGATAGCATCACTGGAAGCTCACCTTGCTATGGTTTTATCAACTTCAATAATCATCAACAAGGTAGCTTTTATTTCTTTGTTATGCATGTTAACTAGTTTGCATGAAGACGGATATTGGGGTATTCTCAGACGTTAATTAAAAAGAAAAAGAAGTAATTAATACATGCCTCTTAAGATCTAGCAAGACGGGTAATAGGGTGATTTTCAGTAATAAAAATTGCAACTCTCTTGATTGCTAGGGTTTGCTCATGTATATTTTATTCCTGCGACTTCTCCGATCTGTCTGTGAGTTGTGTAGATCCTGTCGTGGAAATTAACTAGCTTAATTACACCCCAATTATTTTGTTGTTGTTTTCTTGTTATCATATGCATAAAGAGATCGATATACTATTTGGTTGGACAAATTAGCGTATCCCTATTAATTAGTCAACGTTATTTATCATTCATGTAAATCTTTCTTTCCTTTAGTTTCCTGCCAAAGAGGCAGGCACGTTTTTTCTCTCAATTATTTACGTTTTTTTTTCTCTCTTATTCTCCTAAAAAATTGTTTTGGCCAGCAATGCATGCTATAGATACGATGAATCATAAGTCAATGAATGAGAAATTTTATAATACATCGGGAGTAACTAAGTGGCATGTACAGTAGTTACTTCATGAGTCCACTTTGAGGAGAGATAGATACAAAAAAATGATGAAATTACATCCACGCTCATCAAAAATGATAAAAAGATTTCTACGTCCGTTCAATTTTTTTTATTTTCTCTCTACTCGCTTTTTTCTTTTTCTTTTTTTGTATCTATCTCTTTCTTCAAAGTGGACTCATGAAATAACTACTATATATGTCACTAATTACTACTCGATGTATTATAAAATTACTCGTCAATGAATGGCAAAGCAATTAGAGTGACATGGTCACAAAGAAATTCAGAAGCTAGAAAAAGTGGCGTGGGAAACATTTTCGTGAAGGTAATATGCCCGTATTCTACTTTGTTCTAAAAATTAAAAGACTAAGGAGATTCATTATTGTGAGTTTGTTTTCTAGAAATTCCTTCAACTTTGTATTTGATTATGGATAAATTTTGCAGAATTTGGATAATTCAGTTGATAACTCGAAGCTTCATGACATTTTTACCAAGTACGGTAATATACTATCTTGTAAAGTAGCAATGTCAGCAGAAGGAAAGAGCAACTGTTTTGGTTTCGTGCAATTTGAATCTGAAGAATCTGCAAACAATGCCATTCGAACAGCTAATGGCACCATTATTGATGGGAAAGAAATGTATGTAAGAGATAAATATATCATTGTGAAATGTTTATTGTTCTTAAATTAATCAATTTCTATGTTTTTTAAGCTTTATATTTTTCTCTGGTTATAGTTATGTTTGTCCATTTATGACAAAAGGTGAGCGGATCCAAGCTGATTCTGGAGCTACATATACAAATTTGTACGTAAAAAATTTAGACAGTGATGTGACTGAGGATTTATTACGTCAAAAGTTTTCTCTATTTGGAGAAATAAGCAGCCTTCTTATCTCAAAGTATGAAAATGGAGTATCAAAAGGCTTTGGCTTTGTGAATTTTGTGAATTCGGATGATGCCAAACGAGCGAAAGAATCAATGCATGTAATGCAACTCGGTAAAATCTCTTTTTCCTTTAGTAATAAGCCTTGCATTTGTTTATTTCGCCAACAACTGCTCAGAACTTGAAATTTAACTCATCGTTTTGATGTCTAGGCTTGAAGGCTATATATGTGGCAAGAGCACAAAAGAAAGCTGAACGTCAACGAATCTTAAGCATTGAATTTGAGCAAAGACACAAAGAAAGGCTTCAGAAATATATATATATATATATATATTATTGTGTTTTAAATCAATATGGTTGTTAAATGTAGGGTTTGAATGTGCATATCAAGCACATCAATGATAACGTTGACGACAACCAACTGAAGGATTACTTCAATCAACGCGGTACGGTAACCTCTGTTAAGATCATGCGAGATTAGAAAGGTGTAAGTAAAGGATTTGAATTTGTAAGCTTTTCTACTTATGATGAAGCAACCACAGCCATAAACACTTTAAATGGTATGCTGATTTTCTTTCTTCCATGGTTAGTTTAATTAAATGTAAGGACAATCTATGCCAGTCCTTCTCGTATCACCAATGCTTAATTATATTACTTCTGCTAGAAGGGGTCAAATTTCATGGCAAGCCTTTGTATGTGGCTATTGCACAAAGTAAAGATGAAAGGAAATCATTATTGGGACTCTTTACAGCTAATCCTACTAACGTTTATCCTAATTTTGGGTACCAACTCCCGTGGAGACCAAGTGGATTCTCACCTCCAATGGGCCCTGGAGGTCCAGGTTTTCAAGCTCCCCCTTTTCCAATGGTAATGTTTGTTTGATTTCTTGAATTCAATTTCAAATTGTTTATATATGATAATTAATTAATAATTACTATAATGATTGTGTTTGATTATTAACTAACGATGATTACATCAATTTATATTCCTGGTAATTTCCCACAGCAATATAGGGAGAGGATGACCAATCATATACCTAGATATGGTGGGGATGGTTATCTGCCATTTCCACAAGAACACAACCAGTTTGGGTACTTTCATAATAAAAAGAATGCAAATGATCAGCAGCAGGTACTTTGTTCTTTTTCATGGAACATCTTCGGAACACCAAATATCGCTATCAAAATCACCTGCATTGTTCTTTTACATCACAGAGGACTATAAATGCAAACCACTGGTGTAATGGGCACCCAAAATTGACGATGAGCAATGGAGAAACTATTCCATCAGTTCTTGACGGTTCTTCAACGAAAGCACCGAAAGGAACTGAAGACTTGAGTACCAAGCTTGCAGCTGCATCCGCAGAACATAGGAAAGAAATGCTTGGCCAACATCTATACCCTCTTGTTCATAAGCTTCAGGTAAGTAATATTGTTGATTCAGGTTTCATAAAGTTAGCCTCTTTTTCCTTAGAAATTCATGGTTGGACCTTTGTCAGATTTTTCACTAGTTCTGGTTTGCAGAGTGGTCTTGCTACAAAAATAACTGGGATGCTTTTGGAGATGGCCAATGCAGAGCTGCTTTTGTTATTGGAGTCTCCCGAGTCATTAGCTGCAAAAGTGGAAGAAGCAGTCCAGGTGCTTGAGCTCCAATAGAATAAAGCCTATGAAAGAGAGGCTGAGACTCGGGCTGAGCCACAATCTTCTGAAGCCTCTTCAACTTTACTGATAACTTAGAAGAATGCTAGAGCTTTACAGGTTTAGGAATTTTGAATTCAGTTCACCCCAGAGTTATTTTGATTGATTGCAGAACAAAATTTTGTCATAAAACAATTTGGATTTATTTTGTTGGGAAAATATGCTAGAAAGATATGTCTTGCTTAAAATCCAAAGGAAGGATTTACCATTTAATTTACTTTTTTGGTGAACAAAGTTAAATTTTTTATTTGAGTGTGTTGATTTTAATTTTTGGTTCTGTTAACTTCATGTTGATATAGCTCTTAACTGCACACATGGTAATGTAATGTGAGTTCTATTATCAAGTGACAACTAGGAGAAAAAAAAGTTTATAAAATATTTGGTGTGCAAACTTATCAATTTTTTTCGACTTGGGTGTGCAAAATTTAATTTTTACTAATTGATTATACTAGCATGCAATTTTTGTTCTATTTGAGTAGTTCATTAACTCTTTTTTATTTAAGTAGTTCTGTTAACTCCATATTGCTGCATTAGTTAACTGTATAAATGACAATTAGAAAAAAAATAAAAAACAATGATCCATTCTCATTTTCATATAACAATGAATAAATTACATAACAACAATTAGATATTTATAGTTTTACATAAAAATATTTTTTTAAAAAAAAAGATAAACAAATTATTTAAAATGGCCAGATACAATGATTGAAAATTAAAACAAAAAATCTTAATTGAACTCATGCACTAAAATAATGATTCATTCTCATTCTTAATAGAAAAATTAGACCAGAGGTTGTTGAAAAATGAGGATGTGTAATTATATTTTATTTGAAATAAACTTGTTTAGTTGTATATGTTTATTTTTATGGTAGTATTTTCTTATACAAAAATTTGTTAAATAATTTTTTGAATTTTTAATTTGAATCTAGTAGCATGAAGTTTCTAGCTGCCAGCCTAAATAATGATGATAGGTATTAAGTTAACGGACACATCAACCAAAAATTAACCAAACCACTCAAGTAGAAAAAAAAATTGCATGTTAATACACTTAAATAATAAAAAATAATCGACAGGTTTGTACAAAAAGGAATTTTTTTTTTGTTGCCACTTGTCTAACAATAAGATTCGCATGACAATGCCACATGTACAATTTAACAATCACATCAATATCAGTATAAAGTTTACAAGAAGCCACTAAAAAAAAACCCTAAAGTGTAATTGAGTCAGAAGAATTTACTTCCGGGTAATGGGAGGAAATGTCATGCAAACCCAAAATGACTGAAACTTCAGCATATCACTATTTTATCATTAAAAGACCGTTCTCAATATAAACGGTTGATGCTTGTAATCATGTTGCTAATCAGGAAGCAGAATGCACGTGCTTCCCAACTTATATAATAGCATCCGCAGTTGTACTTGGAACATGTTAAAACACTACTGAACAGGATTTACAACTCCTGGAGTCACGCTGCTGGTTAGGTTAAGCTAAGAAATTCATATCCCTAACTAGGATTCAACATTTGCTGAACAGGGCTACAACCATAAGCAGCAGGCACAACCACTTTCACTTACATAATAATTCAAAAAAAAAAAAAAAGATAAATGGCAGAAAATTTCAACAGAAACATAAGTTAAACCGCATAACATTAAACAAACAGCATTTACTTGGATTTCAAGCATCTCTATGAACATCCAGTACTTCGCTTTAAACCTACTGGTTAAAAAGCATTATCTACGGACAAAAGACATGTCTTGTATTTCACCATCTCTACAAAAAGGGAGAAGTGCAGTATACGCCTTTTTTCTTTATGTACCTTTCTGCATCAACAACAGTGATGCCTGCACATTGATGTATACTTTATAAGTTGGTTAGGCTGCAAAATAGTCGTGTGCAGACCACCACACAAAAGAAAGGCCGACTACATCAACAGTAAAACATAACATCCTTGACGTTATCTTTGATAACCGGAAGAGGACGGAACTCAGCAGTCCTCCCAGTCCCACCAGAAGTAGAATCGCCATCTGACATTTCATCTTCAATGTAGTATCGAGCCCTAAAAGCAGCCAAATGTGCATAATACGCCGGAGGCACTGCATATTTTCCACACATGTCAAGTATTAACTTTCTGATGGAAAACAACCAGTAAAAAAAAAAATGAAGGAAAAATGAAAAGGGGAAGGCAATGGTCTGACCTATGGACACAGACCGAGTGCATCTTGCATATCTGGAAAGAATATCAATATCTAATCAGGAAAAAAAAATATAGACACAGATTTTACATTGCATAACAAACCAATTTTCAAAAAGGGCTGCCAAAACATTACGTGTAGCACAAATTGTTGGTGAGGGTTTGTAAACCATCAGCAGTGAAGTTGTTTTCATCAAACAACACATGATAGTGTGTAGGTCTGCTGGTTCCCTGCATGTACAGAGACAGAAAAACAAGTGTCATAATGTTTTTTTTTTTTCAATCGAGTTGGATGTCATATCGTACCAAGAGCTGCAAGATCAGAAATTCATCATTTATTTCAACATCTTGGCTGTTGGAATAATCTTTTACCTGAATTCCAGCATGACTGTTGAGGTAGAAGTCGAATTCTGTTGGATGGCAAATTTTAGTATCAACAACTGTACCTGAAACAATTCAAAATTAAGGGGAAAAAATTAAAAAAAAAAAAAAGAGTTCCCGACAAAATAAGTGTTAAGAGGAAGCAAAATTTAAAACCTGGTAGGATATTGCCACTCCTGTCAGTCTGATCACGCCTGTTATGGTCAGCAGGAAAAAACCGTGTATGATGCCTTTTCTGCACTACAACAAAGGTAACTCGAGGACAATATCCTTCTTCTAAAGTGCTACATGCCTAGAAAGATTTAAAACTGTGCATATTAGAATACAAAAACTTCACCATCCACTGCAATCCAGGAAATAAGAAATTGATTGGTTCATAAACAATAAAATCCAATACAAAAATCATGCAAGTAACAAGATTACTTGACACAGCTTATTGGCATTGTACCACAACAGGGAACAAGCACCACAATCAACATAAATGAGAAAAGTTATGGAAAGACTGAGCTGCCCAAAATGTTTAGCCCTCTCTTTGGACACACCACAGAAAAAGCACATGCCATTAAATCTAATTTAAGCCATCAAGCACTTTAAAACATGTATGGCCAACAGCGGTATCACTAGATTGTTATCCTTAACTAACAACACAATACCTCTCGTATTGCCTGCATTTCATGTAGCAAAACTTGGCTGAATTGACCTTCACTGACACCATCTCTGTCAAATGAAATCAAATGGTCTCAGCAATCCAACTCAAAAATGTTACACTTATTCTGTCATCAAATGATAAGCTTACCTGTAGAATATAATTCTGTAAGGTTTTTGGCCAGTTGATCTCCTGAATGCAATAAACAATTCCCTGCGAATAGAATCAAAACGACAGCATTTACATACCTTTCTAAAAAAATGGCATTGAGGATAGTATGCATGTCAATTCTTTACCTGATCATTCCACTGTGAACTAAACCCTTTTTTGGATCCTGATATTTTTTGTAAAGATCCTCTATAATTTCTTGACGATGGGCCTGTGCAGAGACAAGTCCTCTATACTTTGTTACCTCTGGCCAGTCCATAGAAGCCACTACCTGTTATAACCCCAAACCATTTAATACAATGAAAAATTTACAAAGGATGCACAATAGACATCCTAAGATGCAGATGATAGTTAAGATAGTTAAATGATAAAGTTCAACTCAACATACTGCTGCAATAGATGGGCTAGAGTCTTCTCCCGGTTGTGGATGGGTTACATCAGCGCCAAAAATAATAGTAGGAAGATCAGTAACAAGAGGAATTCTTCTATGAAAAGCATCATTCAATACAGTGTTCCGTCCCCCAGCCTAGAAAAGATCCAATTCCCAATTTAATTCTTCAAATGACTACCAGAGTATGAAGGGAAAAAGAAAAAACAAGGAAAATCAACAAACCTTCACATTAATTTTGAGAGCAACATTTTCTAGGTATTGTTTGCTAAGCTTCCTTGCCTGCTGGGGCTGACAGCATTGTGAAACTATTCCTAACTCAGTTTCACAAATCCGTTTGATTTTCCCTACAAGAAAGAAAGATCTTAGTAACAAGACAAACAACTCAGGCTATGAATTTCGAATCATATTCTGTTACTAACCATAGGATCCCTTGACGTCAGGTAGAATAATGATCAGGAGCTGAAGTTGTTTTCCCCCTGATTTGCGAGTACCGTAGTACATTGCTTATGAACGTCATAAAGAGCCTTCTCAATTTGCCTGGAATTAGCTGGACGTATTGGAACAATGGGCTCTGGGTTGAATTCCTGGCATTATGTTCAGATAAACTCAAAGCATCAATCTACCAGAATAGCAATGCCATGGGAACAAATATGGCAGAAAAAAAAAGAACAGAGGTGAAGTCATACCATTCCTTTGCTTTTGCACATTTCCATTAATTGCCAACAAAATTCAGGTGGCAAATCTCTATGCAATCTTGTAGAGAAGTTCACACAGGTCCAGGAATCAATTCTGCCTCCATTCACCATTTTCTGCCAAATCATTGTTATAGAAAGTCATCTAGCCATAAAGATCACTACATTTTTCACTACAAACGTGCACATTCAGTGTACATCAGACACACACTTTCAGAGACTCCAACAAGTTCAACCTAAAGTTATGGTATACAAACATTACGATGCAAGTTGGTATTTGCTTTGGAAACACTTTCACCCTTTTTTTTTCCCCTATGCTAGAACCACAACCATTTTTCAAGCAGTACAATCAACTTCCAAACCATCTATGGTAAAAGTGGAATAACCAGTGAAACATAACCACTCGAACTCAAGTTTCCTCTTAAGCAGGCCTATCACTAACAATCTTGTTAATCATCACTTCACCTTGTTAATCATGTTCCATTGTCCTAAGTGCGGATCCACGCTAGCTTCTCGCCCTGTATCATGATATTTAAGCTGCAACACCATAGTAGAAAGTATTGTTAATGCTGTTAATGATTAATTCATTGGTTACGTCTTGAATCCAAAGCAGGGTGCATGATTACCATGGGAGGGGGTAAAACTCGGGCATCAACCAATGCAAGTTCTTCTTTCACTTGAATACCAAATTCATTCCTTACAAGCTCATTCCTACCATAATCATTTTGCCTAACCATCTACATGAAAAGGATGGAGAGTGAATAATTATAAAGCCAAACATAAGGAGAAAATGCATATATAAACCACAAAAATCAAGATAACAGAAATAATTGATATAAAGATGTCAAACAGAGATTATTTGCCTGCTTGATGCTATTTTCCCTAGCAGAAGGGCGTTGACATGTTGCTCTTAAGAGGGCAGTGACTTGTCTTTCGTTTAGTTTCTTTGTGTATCGTTGTCCTTCAGCAATCTTACAAAGCTGCAAAGGGAAGAAAACCAAAACTAAACAACCTTATTCACAGTCATATGCAGAGGTACGATAATCGAAGAGATCTCATCTAAAACAACAAACCTCCATGGGCAAATAAATAGGTTTTGCATCAGTTCCAGCTTGAAGAGGAGGCAAAGATGTATATTTTAACCCAATATTGTATGTGTCCCGGAAATACTGATGGACCGAAACCTTTGTGTTCTTAGCATCCAGAGTAAACCTACAGAAAACAAAATTGGCAGAAAGTTCAAAATGATACGAGACTGAGAATCACAAATGTAGCATTATAACATTATTCACATCTAATACCACAAATGCGTACAACATTCCTTTTCCTGAGGTTGAGTGTGTGTTCTACAATTTTCTGTTTTTTAAGATTAAACTAGCTTCGGGTTAAGTTTTAGTAGATATGATCCCCAACGATAAGAACAAAAAACTATGTTAGAGACACAATAAATCAGCCACCACCACGAATTATTAGGAACCTCACAAAATACAATAACCTTATCAACAGTCTCCACGATAGTATTTATAAGCTTTGGAAGCCTACGCACACCGACATCCATGTAATGTGAAGCCAGGAAACTTACATTGTTTTGTTTATTGGTAGATGAGATATGCCAGTAACCTTATAGCTTTTTGTGCAGTCCCTGTATGTAATTTGTACTTTGATTCCTTTTAAGGCCTTTTTCACCTGAAAATTGCACCCAAAGAAGTATAGAAGACACTATTTCAATTTGGCAAAAAAGAAACCATATGGGTGCTTTCACATTAATGATCTTCTGTCGTGCATAATAGTAAACAATAAAGTTACCTTAATACGCTCCTGATCAGAAAGGGGGCCTGACAAGTCTCTAATATTAAAGTACTTCGCTACAAACTCAGTAACCAAAATTGGCTCATAAAAGGATCTGGCTGACACATCTAAAACACAACAATGAGATATTAAAGGCTAGAAGTTCTTAACAGAATTATATTTAAAACAGCAAGTATCAACGCATCAATTTTAGATAATCAAAATAACTATAAGTAAGAGAAGCTATACCAATATTGAAAGATAGTCCCATTTGGATTGGCCGAAGACTTTGATAATAACCTCTCCAATATTCTATTCCATCACCAAGCTCGCCTCTTGGACCCAAATTGGGCGAGTAAAATGACCTCCCAACAGTAATGTACCTTGTCAAACACAAACAAAGGTGAAGAGAGAAGAAAAACAAAACATTCACATTTTCTAAACAATCAAGTTGAATTACTTTTCTGATGGAGATGCTCTGAGAACAATGTCAAGGATTTGTATGGTTTCTTGTGGAGCATCCATTTGTCTACGGCTCAGGAATTCCTTCAAATGATACATATCAACTTTGGATGCATATTTGATAACCACCTTAAATTGCCGTTCCTTTCTACATATCACCAATGGCATGAGCAAGTTTGTTTTAAAACAAATAGAGTAATCATAATTTTTTCAAGCAAACAACAAATACAAGAACACATAAGCACAACAGAATAGGAATTACTTGACAGAACTGGATGAACTAGCAGGATCATCCTTCTCAACCAACTTTACAACAAATTCCTTTGCTTCAAAAGGCAATGCCCCAGCAGTGAATAGACTTTTCCTGCCATCATAAGCCGGCATCCGATTGCCAAGGTAGGACTCCCGAAAAGAACGAACAAGTTGAGATATTACGTCTCTATTGACTTTCTTTGATGTAATTTCAGGAGTTATTGCCACCTAAACCAAACGCATTATTCAAAATTGTCAAAAAGATAATTTTTTTAAACCATAAAAAACTAAACGTTGAGACTTAAAATTAACCAACCACAACAAAATAAATTTAATTACTGAAACATGTTCAAGAACTATGTGAACTTCTCCGGAAAAAAAAATTAAAAATTAAACGCCCCTCTTTACACCGGGAAAACCAAAATATTGAGGTTGAGAGAGACATCAACATTTAGCATAGATTTAAATAAGGGCAGTTTTGGGACACTTCGATACCATTATTCGTCTATATATAACGGCCGCGGCCATTATTTTAATACTGCATTAAGCCGCGCAACCCTTTTTTACAAGTCGTCTGCTATTTAAAACTATGATTTCAATCATTTCATTGTACAACAACAAATAAGAAAAGAAGGGAAAAAAACAGTAAATATAATAGAAAATCTAAAAATGAATAAAAGAGAAAAAACAACTATATCTAAAAAAACAGAAGAAAAACTAGAAACTAGCAAAATCGTCGCCAAAAGAGGGAAAAAAAAAAAAAACAGAGATTTCTTTCAAAAAAAGTTCCTTTATTTGTTAGTCAAATCGAAACTAGAAATGATAAAGAGTCATTAAACAAACACAAAACCATCCATATACAGCACTCAAATCCAACACAAAAGGTACGCATAAACACCAATACGTATATATGTACGTTATTGTAAGAAGTTAAAGAGAGAGACCATTACGTACATCGTAGTGAAAGAGATCTCTATCAGAAACCTCAACTGCAAAATGATTCGCTCTAATCACACATTTCTTCCCTAGCTTTCCATACCCCGGCCGTGGCGGGGGCACAATCGCCTTTGACGATACAGGCACCAACCGTCCCGTCGTAGCAGTATCTCCCAATGTCAGCTTTTTTCGGTCTCTTGACTAAGCTGCCCTACCGAAGACGAACTCGAAGCCGTCGCCGTCGCCGTCGCCGCCGCCGTTGCATAAGCCGGAGGCGGTGGAGCAGTCGCAGACGAATGTGCAGCTTGAGGAGTTGATACTGTCGAAGGACCTGCGATTGCAGAACGGTAGCCGGATGCCGCCGGGGGAGGAGCATGAACTGGTGTTGGAGACGGAGCAGGAGTGAAGCCGCCTCTTCCACCACGGCCTCTACCACGATCTCCACCACGACCGCGACCGCGCTGAAATGACGGTGACGGAGTAGAGGATTCCTGGTCGCGACGAGTTTCTGATCGCCGACCACCACCACGGCGAGACATTGTTACTTAGCTTAGCGGTTACGCTTCTTAGAGAGAAATCAAAGAGGAGAGAGTGAGTCTTTCCTAGGGAGGGAGAGAGTTAGCAGGAGAGAGTGTCGATGGGTGTCGTGTATATAGAAGGAAGGAGAGACGAAAGCGTATACACGCTTCTCAGACATTGTTATTTTTATGACTATTATGCCCTCCGTAAGGAAGACCGGTAACCAGGGGTTTGGTTGGAGTGGTTGGTTACTGCTCTAGGTTCAGGGAACTATGGAGTGAAAGAGGGTGTGTTGGAAATAACGGAAAATTATTTTGATTTCTTGTAAATGTAAAGGTAATTAATTGAAAACTTTTGGATTGCATAACTGAAACGTTGTGATGATTAGTTTTCTGTAGCCCAAGGAAGGTGATTATTCAACTAGCTTCCAATATAGGATACTGAATTTTTTTTTGGAGTTAATTTAGATTCATTTTTGTTTTCGAATCATTTTAAAAGTAGACTCCACTTGCTATTTTCAAAAAAAAAAAAAAGTTAATATTCTCTCTATCTTAAAAATATTATATACTTTTTTTATTTATATCTGTTTTAAAATAAATATCTAATAAAAAATATTTAGTTAAAATATCCATAATTCAAATCTGTTTTATAAAAAAATAGCCCAGATACAATTCTCAAAAAATATATTTTTTAAAAAATTATAAAAAAAATATTGATATGATGTAATAATTAATAATTTATTAATATGTGTGAAAAATCAAGAACAATAATTTTGAAATAGAAAAATAAACTTTACTAAATGCTAACCTTAATATTCAAATTTAAAATAAAAAAAAAAAAAAAAAAAAAAAAGGAGTTGAACAAATTGTATCTAACTAACTCCTTAAAATTTATTGAACTATGGAGTGAAAGATTAATAATCTTATTAATATGTGTGAAAAAATAAAAGAACAATTTTTTAGACTTAAGAAATAAATTACTAAATCATAACCTCGCTATTCAAATTTAAGAAATTAAAAAACAACTGGCATCTAACTAACTCGTTCGAGTTAAAATTAATATATTATTGTTTATTTTATCATTATATTCCTATAAATATATAATAAAATAGCTCTAAACGAAATTCAAGCTTATTCCTAGACACAAAATGCGTTGCAAATTCCATATATTCAATGATGCTGAAGAAGATGCCGGTCAAACTGCATTTATAAAATCTATCCTAATTTTTTTATATATCTTTTTATTGATTTTAATATTTAAGCAATTTTAATTGAATTATGTCGGAGATTTCTTTACGTAACTAGTCGCAGCAAATATATATATATGCATAGGTAAGTATCAATTTTTTTCCTTTTTCTTTTGTGTTTAACATTTAAGGTAAACTCTATCTAATTTGTGAAAAAGTAGAAACCTATTTCTTAAGAGTGATAACCATATATAGGCTAGGATAATGCTGGCCGTCGTTCGGAGATTTTTAATAACTTCTGTTACTAAATAACGTGGCGTGTTTATTAAGAAAAATATTTGAAACCATGACAGGGAGGATTTTTCGCAATTCATGTGACATTACCATCATTAAATTTACATTCACTTCTCACAATATTACCCTATCATTTAGTTAAAAAAAAAATAGTAAATAATTTAATATCCCTAAAAGTATACTATAGGCTACTTATATGGGAAGTAAAATATAACAATTCTAAATAAGCCAGATCTTTTCTAACTTTAATTTATTTAAAAATCGATTTTTAAATTTTTTATTTTGGATTTGATATTCTCTAAACTTTTTTAAAAAATTTAGTTTATCCCTAGCCATCACTCTCTCTAAAATTTTTAATAATTAGTGTTTTGAGTTGGAGTTTTGCACACTTATTGAAAAACATCTTATATAGTTTTTAGAAAAATTCTAGAATTTTTAAAGATTGAAAAGTATATTATTTTATTTTATTTAACATTAAAAATATAACAAATTGAAAAAAAATAGAAAATAATCTGAAATGATTCTAAAGTTTTTAACAAGCTCTAGATAAATCTTATTGAATAATTTCTCTTATGAAGCTATTATGTTACTATATATATATAACTAAACTATGGACTAAATCTTAAAAAAAAGAAAAAAGAGATTTAGGAGAGATAAACCTAAAATTAAAAATTCATAAACTGATTTTTAAATAGATTAAAGTTTAAGGAATGTTTGACATGTTCAGCCAACTCATAATAATGAGATTCACTTTACAAAAATGGGTAATATTTGAGTTCTGTGTGTCTAAAATGGAATTAAACTCTATTAATGATCCTTCGTCAAGAAACCCTTAGGTTAATTAGCAGTCAGTTTTTTAGCAGTAAATTATAAATTAATCATTTATTTTTGAAAAAAATTAATTAGCTTTTTTTATTTCAAAAAAATTTATTTATTTATTATTATTGATCATATTTAATTTAATATCACTTATTTAAAAAAATCATTATTTTTCATCAACTCATTCGTATTTTTTCTATTTTTAAAAATAAAAAAATTAAAATAAATTGAAAAGGAATCAAAAGGATTAATTTTAAAAAAAATTATTTTTTAAAAGAACAAACTAATTAACTGTTTTTTAAAAATTAAATTATAATTTACTCTCTTTTTTTTTTTTAATAGCACAAAAAAGGCTAACACCAACTAGGACTAGAACAACAAAAAATATATATATTTGCTAAGGAAGACATCCCATTGTCAGCAATGATCCGTGCCTGGCATAGCAGGCTTCTTTTGTGGGCTACCCGAGAAAATAAGCAGGTATACAGAAGAGAGAGTGTCACTTCGTAAGAAGATACAGGCGACTGCTCTGGAGGCAAAAACGATGTCATCATGGCACGATTCATGCCATTTGTTCAAAGGTTTGTTTTGGGAGGATAATTTATGTGGAACCTACCGAGAAAAAGAAGAGGACCAGGAGGCCAGCAAAGGAGACTTTGACTTTTAGGTTGGGGCTCTTTAGTACTTTTCCGAACAGGAAATGACATGGAAGGAGCGGGAACTGAGAAGTAAAAGACATTCTACCCTATAGTTTTATAAATAGTCCACTGTCAACCTGTTTCTTAAAATGTTGTAATGTTACCCTTGTAATTTCCAAAAGTTTTTAATTCTTGTTCCCAGCCTTTTTTTTTTTTGAGTTTTTTTAAGTGTTTTTGTGAAATATTATAGAATATATACAATTCTAAGACAAAAAATGAGAGAAAAGTTAGAAAATATAAAATAAAAAAGTGAAAAAGCAAGGTTTTTGTTAGCTATTTAGTCGTGAAGGAACAATTGAAACTTTGAAGAGTATACAGGTAAATTTGAAGAACTATAAGGGTAGAGATGAAAAATTATTGAATCTATAAGGCGATAAATGTAGTTTACCAGTTAAAAAGTGCTAAAGTAGAGGATTTTGGCATTAAAATGATAATAATAGCACCTACATTCCGTACAGTTAGTTTGTCGTATAGGCAAATATTCTGGCAAGTCACATAGCTGGACACGCTTCGAGCAGGGATTGGTTCATATGATGATTTTACGTGACAGCACAGAGGCTAAATTAGATTTTTTATCCGTACTATGTTATAAATTAGATAAGATATTTAAGATTATTTCAGATACATGTCTCATATTATATTTTACATATATTAAAAAACATCAAATCAAAATTAAATAAAATTTTATTTATTTTTATCAAAATTTTATGTTTCACTGATTATTTTTATTCAAAAACATTATTTATTTATTTTTATTTATAAACTAAAAAAATTATAATAATATAAGAATGTTAAAATCAAAGAAAAAAATCAAAGTGATAAAAAAAGAAATCAAATTAAAACATAATGTCATAAAAACTTTCATAATAAATATTTTTAAAATATTTAAAAACTATAAAAATATCATTATATAATAAAAAATAATATATATGAATATGAATAAATAATACAAGTGATTTTAGATAATTAATATTTGAAATAGTAAAACAAACAGTGATCATTAGTTTTATTTTAGATTTTTCGTAATGTAATGGGAGCTGGGATTTACGGCAGTTGTCGAGGAGGGAAAAATCGACAAGAGGTGCGGATTCGAGCAGACATGCCACACGCTACGATATCAGGAATTCCGGATCTGTCTTGCTTAAAAGGGTTTGCGTTTGCCTAAAGCAAAAGCGTGGAATGTTCTTTGCCTCTGATACTGAGCAATCAATTAAATAATAATAATAATAAAACTGAGGTTTTTTTAATTGAATTACTGTGTTTTGTGCCCACAAAATGTAATCAATGTTGTTTCAATAAAAAATTATGATGATTTTGGACAAGATGACTCGATTAAGAAATTTTAATGCATTTGAGATGCAATTGAAAAATAAATAAATAGTTTGAAGTGGATAGGTTGGGTATAAACTTAACACTATCTCTATTTGTTTTTATTGCGATAAATTATTATTCTGTATTTGTATTTATACTGATGTGTGTTTTATAAGTTAAACGTTCCTTTGGTTAATTATTAAAGAAAAGGGAGAATATATGCTTTTATTATAATAAGCTTTTACATGTTTTTCTGACTTAGTATGTTTACTTTTTTTTCAAATATATATAAACTATTTAACAAACATTTTTATTTATAAAAATTGGACTAAGAAGCACCCAGTGTTTAGCTAATGTCGTGTTTAGTTTTTTATCCTCAGTGACTTCAATTTGAAGGCATCTTTTGTTCTAAGGAAGGGAAAAAACAAGACTTCAGTTCAAGATCTCCCTTGTTACTTTTGACGGAAGTCAAAGAATTCTTTCTTGTTTCTAGCAATTATATATATAACGTTACAAATTGGAAAACAAAATGAGTTGAATTACCTAATTATATATGCATATGAAAAAGGACAGTTCCAAGCAAAGTATCATACCGCCATTCTTATTGAGTGTATTTGATCTGCATCAGTTAAAAAAAAAAAAAAAAGGATTAACAGTAAGATTGATTCTTATATTTTTTAGATTTTTTTTTAATGTGGTTTATTTATTTATCTTTATTTATCGAGTTTTTTTATTCTCCATATCTTCTTAGTATTCTCTTTCATGAAATTTAATTTAATTTTTTAAGTAAAAATGACAAATGAATTAACATGTCGATAAAACCGACGATTTATATAAAAGTGATACATAGCAAAATCTTAACATTTCGTTTATTAATTTTATATAATATGTCGATTTATTTATTATTTTTATTTGAAAAATTAGATGGAGTCCCATTAGAGAAATTATATTAAAAGAATTCAATAAAAAAAGAATAAAGAAGCTACATTAAGAAAATAAAAAATATACAGATAAATCATGTAAATAATTCAAAAATAAACCCACACGTCAAGTAATCAATGGCATTACCGTGGCATCATGTGATCAGCCATAATCAAATGCTTTAAAAAGACTATATAATTATTATATATTCTCCAACTTTATTTTGATGGCCCAGCTTTGAGAACTTGATAACATTGATGGTCTAAGGAACCAATGGAGATGACTACCAACTCTTTTGTTCAATTTTTCTTTTTCTTTTTTTCCTTTTTCCTTTTTTGTTAAAAACCGCGTTGCCCAAGATTTTCGAGCCCGAGGTTTGGAAGATGCTAAAGATTTCAAGGGATTTGAACGAAAACGACCAAAAGCACCTCCACATAACAGGACAAAATTTTTTTTATTACAAAACGTTTTAGCCTGGACTTTTTCCTTTGCGAACAGTTAAGACATATTTTTCTTCTTTAAATATTGTATTAATATATGAAAATCGACATGAAAATAACTAATCCATAAGTTAATTGTTGTATTGTTTTCTTAACATTGCTGTTCAAAAAAATATATGTTTATTTTTTATTTTTTTTAGTTTAAATCCTCAAGATCACCACTAAAAATAATTTATTAAATTTTAAACACAGATGAGAGTGATGCGTCTTTAAAATCGTTAAAAAAAAATTTAGTATCGATGAACAAATAAATAATTATTTTGAAAATATCCTTATTATGAAATTAAAAAAACATATATAGACCGAAAAATTATTCACTGTAATTTGCCAGTGGAACTTTTATAAATGAATCTCAGAGAAAAAAATAATATCCTTTGTTATGGAGAGACTTATTAAGTCTTAAATAATAAAAACGATGGATAAACTTTCCTTATTAATTTATTTGATTTTAAATTATTTGAACAATACTCAATTCAAAGATATTTGGGATAACATTAAATAATTTTTAAAGTAATTAATGTTAAAATATCATTCTAACTCAAAAATTTAAGAAAAGTTTAAGTTAGATGAAGTTTTGAAAATATTAGATATAAAAATAATTTTATAGTAAATTATAGCAAGGATGATGCATGGCCCATGACGTTAAGGTTATTTCGTTATGACTAAGGTTAGAATCTATATCTTTTAGACTAAAGTGGGAAGGGACATGTCACGAAGCACTTCGGTTGACTGGGTAATGTTGTCATGCACTTGCTTGTCGTTTCCTATATCTATTTTTTATTTTTATTTTTATTTTTTAATTTTTTGCTGGAAATTTCAAAGTACTCATGTTTTATATTCCAAGCATAAAGCCAGATCTGGGCTGATATTAGAACTTTATTTAAAGTGGTCCAACAGTCTAAATGATTCAAGGGCCTTTGAGTTTATCACCTTTAATTTTCGTTTCACTTGCTGGTATATGATCCTCGAGTATTCGTATGTGGTTAAATCGATGTATTAATTTTACTTTCAATCAAACTAGGTCCTCTATCTTTAAGTTAGTAATAGTTGAATCCATTCATGCGTGCATGTACTTATACGTGTAAATATTAAACTATGAAAAGTTTTTTTAGAATTTTACCAAACATTTTTTTTTCCTTTAAACAAAAGAAAACTACAAGCCTTTATTTGCCAAACGAGTTATAAAAGCAAATTCGTTGTTACTATAGGAAGAAATTATTAGTTACTAACATTGTAGTGCTTTTTTACTCTGGATAAAAAAGAATTTACCGTGATATCTTTTACTCGAATAAAAATAAAATCTATTATGATATAAAAGATATCAAAATTAAAATAACTGATTACAAAAAGGAAAACAAAATGCAACACAGAAATGAAAATATTATGAATGAAAAGATGTGGTTTACCATGAAAAAAAGAAAGCATCATATTCATGACTTTGTAAAACTTACACTCCATTATACCGATTCAAATCTTAAGTCAGTATCTAAATGCACGCATGGGTTAGCATTATTTAATTTAAACCAAAAAATCAAAATATCGATTTTGATTTAGTTTTTAACTTAATTTTTTTTAAATTAATCTAAATTTTAAAACCTGTAAAATCAAATATGTCAATTTAACTCTCGTACGTTATATTCAAGTAAATCAATCCATTATCGCACTATAAAATCACAACATGATATCATATTTTCAAAAAATCAGAAAATAAATTCTATCTTAAAATAAGACCTTGGTTCTTGAAATTTTTAATATTTTTTGTTTGACTACATTGATTGAATGAATGTGATTATTATTATTATTTTTATTGTGATTGATATTGTTGTGGTATTTTTAAATTTTTATTTTTTATAATATCATACATTTATATTGAAAATTTTGACTAATTAAAAAAAAATTCTGCTTTATCGTATTTACTTTTAAAATATATATAAAAAAAGTAATAAAGAGGTGTTGGAAAGCATTGTTCTATTAAACAAAGAAAAGAAAAAATATATATATATATCATTTAAAAAAAAAACTTCTTTTACGTGTAATGGACGGAGAAAGGAAAAAAAAGAACAAAGAGAGAACTTTTTTTATTTGGAAAAAAGTTATACCATAATTCATACTCTTGTTTCTTGATGCTAGCTGTCCATTACAGAAGAATATTCTTAAGTTAACCCTTTTATTGTAACAAATTATAATGAAAAAGCAGTGGAGGTGTATGAACTTGAAGGAATTCCGATTTATTTCTAGGAATTGAATGAAGCTAAATTGTAAAAAAGAAAAAGAAAAATATAATTAAATTACCTAATTGATATGCATTAGGGAGAACTTGACAGCATTGATGGTCTGTGAACCAATGGAGATGGCTAACAACTCTTTGTTCAAAATTTTTTTTTCCTTTTTCTTGTTCAAAACTGCGTTGCCTCAGATTTGAACCAAAAAGACCAAAAGCACCTTCACATAACAGGAGGAAAAGGTTTTTGATTACTAAACGTTTTAGCCTCGACTTTTTCCTTTGCAAACAGTTCAGACATACTTTTCTTCTTTAAATATTTTATTAATATATGAAAATCGACATGAAAATAATTAATCCATAAATTTATTGTTGGATTGTTTTCTTAACATTTTTTTTAAAGGATGAATTATTCAGATAAACTTACAGCTGACTCAAGAAGGTTAATTTGGAAGCATATCCAAATTTCAAGAAATTGATCTAGTAGTTAAAAATGTTTTTTATTTTTTAAATTTTTTGGGTTTAAATCCTCAAGGCCAGCACTGAAAATAATTTATTAGATTCTAAACACACTAAACTGATATGAGTGATGTGTCTCTAAAATCGTGAAAAAGAGATCTAGTTTCAATTGATAAGTATGCCACTAGTTTGAAGATATTATTATTATAAAATAAATAAATAAACATATATAGACTGAAAAATTATTCACTGCAATTTGCAGGTATAGCTTCATAAAAAAATTACCAATGGATGAAATTTGATGTAAACATGAATCTCGGAGAAAAAAATAATATCATTTGTTATGGAGAGACTTATTCAAATAAACTTTCCCCATTATTTTATTTGATTTTAAATTATTTGAACAATACTCAATTCAAAGATATTTGGGACAACAACAAATCATTTTTAAAGTAATTAATATTAAAATATCATTCTAACTCAAAAATTTAAGAAAAGTTTAAATTATTGGGTGAAGTTTGAAAAATATTAGATATAAAAATGATTTTATAGTAAATTAAAGGAAGGATGATGCATGGTCCCTGACTTTAAGGTTTGCCGGACTTGATGAAGCAACAGAAACGATGCTCTCTTTCCTTATGACCAAAGGTTAGAATCTTGATCTTTTAGACCATAGTGGAGGGTGACACGTCACAAAGTACCTCGGTTGACCAGGCTCATGTTGTCATGCACTTGCTTGTTGTTTCCTGTGTGTGTGTGTGTGTGTGTAATCTTTGTTGAAAATTTCAAAGTACTCATGTTTTAAAGTGGTCCAACAGCCAAAATGGTTCAATGGCATTTGAGTTTATCCCCTTCAATTTTTGTTTCACCTACTGGTATATCACACTCCATCATACCGATTCCAATCTTAAGTCAGTATCTAAATGCACATATGGATGAGCATTATTAATTTTAAATCGAAAAGTCAAATCAAATCCAAATATTAATTTTAATTTATTTTTAATTCAAAATTAAAAAAAAACAAATAAACCAATTTTTATTCTGTTTTTTTGGTTCGATTCAATTTAAATCGAAAACCAATTTTTTAACATTTAAAATAATATATATATATATATATATATATATATATATATATATATATATATATATATATTGATGGTGTTTTTTTTTCTATTTACTATTTTAGAAAAAAATTAAAAAATTCAGATTTTTTTTAAAAAAATTGATTTAAACTGAAAAAAAAATCAAAACTAAAAACTAAGATTTTGGTTTTAAATTAAAAAAAAAACTGAATAGTAATTTAGTTTGGGTTAGGTTTTTTATTTTGTAAGTTCAATTAATAAAAAATCTAACTAAAATTATTAAAAACCGAATAACCATCTCGATATGCCCATATCAATGGAAGCATATGTTCTTAAAATGGATTAATAGAAGGAATTAATACTCTTCTTTTAGTGTTTAAAAATATTATCTACTATTGCTTATCTTAATATCATTATTATATGTTATATTTTCATTGTACATTTATGTTAAAATTTGACAGATGGCAGCAAAAAAAATTTTGTCAATGTATATTTTGGTCCCTAATTTTATTTTTTTTGAAAATTTTACTTTGATTCATTTACTTTATTTTTCTTACAAATAAGTATTTATTTGAAAGTTTTTTAGTCATTATATTTTATAGTAAATACAATTTAGTCTCCAAATGATTATTTTTTCAGTTAAATCCTAGATGTCAAGTAGTAAACCTGGTCAAAATTCTCATATTATCTTAGATACATGAAGTGTTTTTATTTTGATTTTAAATTTATTTTCTCATATTATTTTTTTAATAACCTAACAATAATAATTCAATACTTATAAAACCAATATTTTTTTAAAACAAAAAATTATAAAACCAAATATTTCAATTTAGTTCTCCTACAACATATCAAGTAAATTAATCCATCATCACACAATAAAATCACAACATGTTGGCATATCTCCAAAAAGTCAAAAAATAAATTCTATCTCAAAATGATAACTCGGTTTCGAACTTTTTGATAATTTTGTTTGATTAAATTGATTGAATGAATGTGATTGTTATATATATATATATATATATATATATATATATATATTATTATGATATTGATATTTTTCTTATTTTTTATAATATCACAAATCTATCATGAAAATTTTGACCAAGTTGACAATTTGACTTGTAGAGACTAAATTGTATTTACTGTAAAATAATATGACCAAACAATTTCAATGAAGGACTTATTTGTAAGATAAAATAAAATTAAAAGACTAAATTAAAATTTTGAAAAACTAAATTAAATTTTTGAAAAACCTTTAGAGACCAAAATATTTATTAGTAAGAAATCTCATGGTACCACGTGTTAGATTTTTAACGATGTTAGAAAAACCAACTGATAAAAAGATCTAATGATAACAAAAACGTAATACATTGAGATGATATCAAAGAAAAAAATAGTTGAAGGACTTTTTAATATATAAAGTAACAAAGAGATGTTGGAAAGCATTAGTCTATTAAACAAAGAAAAGAAAAGGTTTATTTATTTATTTATTGATAAGGTATCCACTATCAAAGTATAGCAACTTTGAGTATTTGTTTTTTATTTAAAAAAATTCTTTTACACGTAATGAACTGAGAGAAAAAAAAAAAAAAGCAAAAGTGGAAAGTAAAAAAGAACAAAGAGAGAAAAAATTTTATCATTGTGATATTTTTAAATTTTTACTTTTTATAATATCATATATGTATCATGAAAATTTTGTCTTAGTTGAAAAAAAATTCTGCTTTATTATATTTACTTATTAAATATATAAAAAAAGCAATAAAGAGATGTTGGAAAGCATTAGACTATTAAATAAAGAAAAGAATATATATATATATATATATATATATACACAAACACAAGGTTTCCACTATCAAAGTAGAGTAACTTGAGTATTTGTTTTTCTTTTTTTTAAAAAAAACTTTTTTTACAGGTAACGGACGGAGAGGGAGGAAAAAGAAGAAGCAAAAGTGGAAATTAAAAAAGAACAAAGAGAGAACATTTTTTATTTGAAAAACAATATATCATAATTCGTACACTTGTTTCTTGACACTAGCTGGCCATGATAGAAGAATATTCCTATCATAAAATGTAACAAATTATAATGATAAAGCAGTGGAGGTGTTTGGACTTGAAAGAATTCCGATTTATTTCTAGGAATTGCATGAAGTTAACTTATAAAAAAAGAAAATATATAATTAAATTATCTAATTAATATGCATAGGGAAAAGGACAAATTCAAGTAAAGTATCATAGCTACCCTTTTTTTATGCCAGTACATATAATTTATATTAAAAAAACAAAAACAAAAAAAACAAAAAAGCAAAAGTTAAATGATAAGTGGCATTGCTATATGTTGGAGTAAATTATAAACTAGTCCCTTTACTTTTTAAAAATGAATTAAATAGTCCTCTAATTTTAAAAACTAATTAATTAGTCTTTCTATTTTTAAATCTATTTGTAACTTAATTATTTTTGTTCTTTTTAAATTTATTTTATTTTTATAAACAAAAAAGTATAAATAAATAAATAATATGAAATGATTGATGAGAAAAGAAGACATTCTTTTTTAAATAAAATAATTTAATTTAATTATGGTCAATACTGATTATGAAACTAATGGTTTAATGACAAAAATTACCTCAAAACTCGTTGAAGTTATGCAAATTTAAGGACTTTATTATTAAACTTGATTATTTATGTCGACGTCGGCCATCTGCGAGAGGGGAGCCGAATAAGAAGTCGCCACCTAGCTAATTGGGGAGAACTAAGAAACCCTAAACATATTGGTTTACATGGATATCTATGTAAGGGGTCGATTACGTATAGGAAAGATATGACATCACCGCTATCCCATCTTACCTAAGGTTGGTTGCATTGTTTGCCTATGACCATAAAAATCTAGTTTTTACTATATTATGCTTCTATGCCAATTTAAATAAATTCATTTTGTAACAATATGAAACAGAATAGTTTGGGAGTTTAGGTCGGTCTAAGGCTAATGCTCTTTACCTAACAGGGGAAAGGTGGGGGAATTTGAAATTTTGGCTAATAATTAGAAAACATGATCTATTATGAACCAATAGGTGAGTTTCTAAAGATGAATAGCTTTTTTATTGGGATGAGTAGTGAGTCACCAAAGACTTTGCTCACACAAGTGGAAAGTAATTGATGACTTTAAGTCATGAGTTTGAAGCTAACGATAACCTCGTCTCCCAAGTTAAAAGTTAGCGATCACTTTATTTAGCTCGAGCAATGAGCGAGATAACTATTTAAAAGCTATTGACAACTTTGTTTCAAACAAATAGATGTTAAATAAAAATTATTTTAAAGCCATTGACGGCTTCGTCACATAAGTGAGAAGTCACTAGTAGCTTCGTTTTGATGAAATAAGAAATAAATAATAATAAATGGGAATCAGGAAATAAAGAAAAAAATCCAAAATTAGGAATCAAGAAACGAGACAAAATGATTTCGAAACCACTAACGGTTTTGTCACATAAGTGAAAAGCCACCGGCAGACTTCATTTTATCATTTTAACCAACCGTGAAAAGTCAATTAAACCATAAAAATAACACAAACTTCGCATTTAAACGAGATAGGCATAATGATAGAAAAACAAGGCATCTTGTCAATCAATGCAATAACATTTTATTTTTATCGCATTTAATCCATAAATGTGAAGCTAAATATCACAATTTTAATCACATTCCAAAGACATCAGTCATTTTTAACCTTTATCATATTTTAAAAAATGTCATGGTTTTAGGATTTTTACCCAAGAGTCCTCGAATGTTGATGTTTGATTTGAAGTCAATCTTACCCTCTTCGTTCTTGATCATAATCAATTATTCAATTAGCCGAGAAAGGAGAGTAACTGTTGATAGGCAACGTGTGGTGTGAGTTCCACTAGAGTGGTAAAAAACTCCTCCATTAATTGGGTGAATATTCTAAAGTTACTGCAAAAATTACAAAGTTACCGTTGCAAAGTTGCGAGTTCTTGAAAGCTCAAGGTGAATTTTATTGCTTATTTTCCTGTCAAAAATCAAGCAAATATAGTCTACAATATCATGTTGTTCTTGCCAAGCACAATCCAACACAAGAAAATTTTTTAATCTTTTCTTTAATTTTTTTTTTTTTTTGCTTTTATTTCTTCATCTTTTCAGTAGCTCCAAAAGTGTCAAAGAGGTTTTTTTGAGGGACATTTTATGGCTATTTTAGTGGGTGTTTTAGGGCTATTTTAAGGTTAGCTTGGAGGGTGTTTTAGTGATTGTTTTGGTGGTTTACTAGGGTTGTCTAAAAAGGGGTTTTGGAAGTGTTTTTGGTAGTTGTTGGTGACTATATCAGGGCTGGCTTTGTGGGGTTTTGGTGACTATTTTAAGTCAACTTTGAGGTCTTGGTAGTGTGTTTAAAGGGGCTATTTCAAGTTGGTTTTTGGAGTTCGAAGGAGGTTGGAGTGGCGGTTTTGGTGGCTATGTTTCTAGTCCGGAGCGAGAGGTTGTTGAGGCATGTTTCAAAGCTGGTTTTAGGGGGTTTGGCAAGCATGTTTCAAGGGTGGAGACGCTAGAGTTGTGGGATAGTGAGGGCTCGAATAAGGGCGAGAGAGAGAGGGCTGGAGAGGCGAGTTTGGGCGTGATTGGTCCGTTACTTATAGGTGAGGTCTGGTTGGGCGTGAGTGGGCTGGAAGTGCAATGAACTCGGGCGTGAGGGGGTTTGGAGTGTGTGGTGACATGTGGTGTAGGCTACGAGCTATAGGGCGAGAGGAAGCTCGGACGAGGGAGGCTATGGCTTGTATGGGCGAGGAAAGCTAGCCGGCGAGAAGGAGCTTGGGTAAAGGAGGTCGTAATGTGTGAAAAGAGAGAGAGAGAGAGAGAGACAAAGTGCTGTGTGGGGGGCGATAGGCATGTGTAGTATGCTGTGGGTATGTGTGGGCGAGAAGGAGAGGCTGGGTGAGAGAGAGAGAGGCTAGAAGATATGTGTATGGCAATCGGAGTTGCTTGGTGTGTCATACGAAAAGGGCTGGAGCGTTCAAGCTACTTGTGTAACGAGGCATGTGGTGGGCCTTAAGTGAGCGAGCTACTCATACAAGTAGGGGAGAGTTGGATTATTGTGGTTGGACGTGGAGGAGGCTTGGGCGATGGCTATTTCAAGCTAAGGAAAAGATGGCCCGGTGGGGTTTTGTGAGGTGGGAGCCTTGAGTTGCAATAGATGGAGGCGGCTATAAAAAATGTCTTTAAAATGGGAGAGATGAACAATAAGCTGGTATAAAAAATGCATGGGGGCTTTTTTTATGTAGGATTTCTTGACAATGTTTGTTTTGGGCCTTCATGCCTTACGACTAATCAATTCAAGTTCAATTTTTTATTTTTTTATTTCCATAAAGCCCCTAAAGTTGAATCAATTAGGACTTTTCTTTTTTGTTTCTTCCAATTGTGCCCCATTTTATTTTAATTTAAAGATATAGGTTTTGATTTTTATAATTGGACCTTCAATAGCCTTTTTTGTTACCTCTAAACTTTCCATTTCTTTAATTAACCCCCTCACTTTTTTTGATTAACCTAAACTAATTATTCGATTGATTTTTTTTTCATTTTTCATTTTTTTTGATATTTTTCGACAAACATAAAAATTGAAGTAAAAGTAATAACGATAAAATTTTGGGTGATAACAATTTAGATCTCAAAATATTATTTTTTAGAAAAGTGTTTTTTTTTTGGTTATATTTGTGTAATAGCCCACCCTAAAAATAAGGTTAAGTTAGTAAATCTTATATTTTAGGAGTTATAAAAAAATAATTATAAGCTAAATAGAAGTAAATTGTATTTTTTTGTATAAATTAAAAATTTAAATTTTTATTATAAAGTAAAAATTAGTACCCATTAAAAGCCAAAAAGAATAAAAGTTTATAAAATTAAAAAAAAATCAAAAATAAAAAAACTGATAGCCTTTTTTTTAAAAAAAGGATAGCATCTTTTGTCCCTTATTCCTTCATTTGTTTTGCTTCCTTTCTCGCCAAAAATTATCTCAACCCCTCTAATTCTCTCCTCCTTTTTTATGCCAAAATCTTTCCCAATTAACTTAGAAAAATCATGAAACAAAATGATCAAAGTGATATTTAGCTAGATTAAAGTTTTGAAGGGTTAGAGGAATTAAAGGTTGAAATCGGGGTTTGAAGGCCTAGTTGTCAAATGTGAGATTTTTTTCATTTGGATTAAATATAAGGAGTTTATTAGGGATTTTGGAGTTATTTTGTGTTGAGTTTGTAGTTGGAATAAAAATTGAGTTAGGTTAAAGTTTGAATTAAATTTTAGGATTTGATGATTAAACACTTATTTATGCTAACCGATACCTAAAACTAGATAATAGTGGTGTGGAATGATTAATGGACTATCGGTTTAAGAGATCCTCAAGTTGGTTGAAATGATGAATGGTAGAGGTAAGTTGTGGAAAAAATTGAATTGGAAATTAATGATGGATTATAGAGACAATTTGTGTGAAAAATTAACGATAGATTGTAGAGATAAGTTGTGTGAAAATTGAAAAGAAATTTGATAATGAATGATTGATTGTAATAAAATATAAATTGGGTTGTTAGAGAAAATTATATAATGAACTTAGCATATAGTTGTTGGATAATTAGTTAAAATCAATAAAGAGAATAAGCGTTTAGTTAAAAATCCTCAATTTGAGTCTTTTCGATAAATCTTATTCTTGTCATTTGGCTTGTATTTCAATTTCTATGATAATTTATTTTCTTCTAAATCATTCTTTGATATATGGTTATTCAATTATTTGTATCATTAGATTTTTTAAACTGGCAACTCCATCTCGACAATATTGACTTCGTTCAATCATCAAATAGTACTTGTGAGTGGATAACATATATCATATCATTTTTTAAAAAAAATTTAAATCTCCGATATGGATCATTGATTTAAATGTGTCATAGTCACATTAATTAGAACTTAGATGGACATCGACTCCTTGTGTGCTTTGAAATGATTTGACATTGAAATAATTTGATATGAATCTAAACAAAGATTTGATTATGTGTTTTAAATGAGAGTTTCACTCAAGGTTTGATTTAATTCTATAAATTTAATTACTAGTTTGATTAAAATTATTGATTATGATTTTATTTATATAATTTAAGTAAGTATTTGACTTATAATGTTGAATATGTTTTGGATTTGAGCTTATATTATAATTATGATATTAATTTACGTCATCGAATTTGATTATGAGCATGAATTTTAATTAGATATATTGGTTTTGGATATTTTTTATCGGTGCATGATTTATATATTTTTTATTTTCTTTTACATTAAACTTATTCATACATTATATGCCTTATTAGATTGATTAAAGATAATATGATGTTTATTATTTTTGTAGAAAAATGACAAGAAAAGCTAATAAGTCCAACCTAATTACATGATGGGTACCGAGTCCTTCGAAGCTCATTCCTCAAAAGAACACACACAACTATGAGAAAAAGTTTCTACCTGTATGTCATGCCGCCAAAGGATAACACATGGTCTTGCAACAAAGGACATATAATCATGTGCCTAGCTCAAAATGTATAAACATGAGGCTGCTTGCTCGTATGCCTCTAGCTCAAGATCCACAAGCTAAAGTTTTACCCGTGTGTCACAACACACGCATTTGTGTGTGTTTTCTCCTACTCTAGCACGTTATGTAATTTATATATATGTATATATATGTTAGGTTGGATAAGGCGATAAATATAAAGTTTTTAAGAGGAAAACGAGACTATTCTATTTCTTTTGTTTTTGAGTGCTTTGACTAACATGTGTGGCTAAATTACTTGTATCGATTCAAAGGGATTTTAAAACTCTCATAGGCATATCAATTGTGAAATCTAGTAACGTTGTTCTTCTTCTCTCATTACCAAAATTGATTATGTTATTCGATTTTATTTAATCTATGATTTCTATTTGATTAATTTGGTTTAGCCGACTAGATTGATTTTTGTAGATTTCTATTACTAGATCTAGAAATTGTGATACGTGTAATTGTCTTATTTCTAATCACTCGAGTAATAAATAGTGGTAGATGATTATGGACATGTTTTCGTCTTTACCACTATGAATAATATAGCCTAGTTTAAATAATCCAAGCTTGTCGGTTTTTTGCTTAGATTGGTCCAATTTCCTAGTTCTTAAAGCTACCACGTATTAAATTTAGAGAACTTATTCTAGGTTGTGTTACGGTTATAATCTAATTTAAGAGCTTTTTCATTGGTGATACTCAAGGGAAATTTAGATAATAGAGCTTATTATTATCTAGAATCAATAATTTCATAAGCGAAGTCAAATAGCTTACCGTGGTTACATTCAATAAGTGCGAGAGTGGAGATTGAACCAATAACCAATTATTAATTCTATTGTTATTAATCTATTTTACTTGTTTGTCTTAATTTTTCCATCAAAGAATTGAACATTAAAACCCTCTTTTTATATTTTATTTTCTTCCATTTTAAAACAATCGGATATCCGAATAATTTTCAGAACCAATTCTCTGCGGGATTGACCCTTGCCTACCCTAGCTACAATTTAGTAATTAGGTTTAGGAAGGAAATAATTCGATTATTTTGGAGCATTCGACATGCTACCAAAATTGGCATCGTTGTTAAGGAATTTTGTCTAATCAATTATTTTATTTATTCCGGTTGTTTTTATCTAGTTAAGTTGTTAATTTTATTATTAGTTATTCAATAGCTCTAGTTGTTTAACGTCTTTTGTGTAATTTGTAGTTTTTATTTTTTTATGATTTTTGGTAGTCACTATTTAAAGTGACTTTTGCGATTAAATTAGGTGACACACTCTTAATCAATTTTTGTGAAAATAACATTTTGCACAAGACTAGTTAATCTTTTGGATTTACTAGCACCACCCTCTCAAAGCCTAATTCCATCGTTTACTAGGGTTTTTAGCAATTTTTATATTTTTAGAAATTTTAATTTTAGTTTTTCTTTGTTGTTTTTGTTTGTTATTAATTATTTTATGACTTTTTGTAGTGTATGATTTGATCCTCTCATATAGGAGACTTAAAGTTTGATCCGGAATGTTAAAGGACTTTGCACAAATTAAAGAGATAGTCTAGATAGATTTTGGTAGAATATGAAATGTCGGCTATTAATTCCTCACTAGGAATCAACATAGCCCTCGAATTGCTCTTTGAGAGTTCTTCTAGTGATCTAGAAAAAGTGAAAGTTAGTAGCTGCAAACGTAACTTTGAAGGAGGTGATTCATTGTTGATTTAAATCAATAGCATTTATGTATTAAGTTCCCTAATTTAAATATTGTTTTTGAATGAAATCAAGACTAATAAATTTATTGCCTAAATTTTGTAGTCTTGTAGGAAAAGATCCGTAATATTCGTGACCTATAACCTTCCTAGAAGTGTAATAGTGATGTATGGATATTTTGCTTAATTAATAAAAAGGAGTAATTATTTAAGGAGCATTTATTGAATGAGTAAAGTTTGAAATTAATTGAGAATAGAAGAAACATAAGTAAAATTTATGGAATGAGGGAAGGATGAATTAGACAATGGTGTCCTTAATTTAAATGATAATGCATTGCCATAGAGATGCAATTGCAAAACGAAGAGTATAATCGTAAGGATTAAGTGTCAAGATCCTTACATAAAATAATTATGAAACCTTAAAAACCTAAATTAACTTTAAGATTGGCATAGATGAGGGCCAAACTGATGAAAAATATGAAGTTATGGATCGAAACTATATGGTTAGATTGTAAGGATTAGAAGTTTAAAGACTAGGGTGTAAAGTGCATATAATGTAAGGAA